TATAGTTGTTGCTCACATTTAGCCACACATTAAGTTTCTTCCTCCAATGAAGTGAAGGAAAAGAATGATTGGGATACGCAGTGCATGAATGCTGACCTAAATTTCCCAGGAATCCTCCCAGGAATCCTCCTTTCTGGAAGAGGACTGTCATTGAAAGCCCCAGTCATCATACTGACCACTCAGACTCTGTCAAACGGTGTGAAGACTGCAGTCTGTTAGTGAAGTCTAGCTGTCTGTCATGAGGAAAAGAAAATTCCAAATCAGTCACTGTCATTTCTATAAACACTCAAACGCTGCGATCAGCATATGTACATTCTTACCAGCATTGTTGTATCATCACTGCTATGAATCAAAATGATCCATATGGGTGTAAATATCTGCCTATGGATAGAAGCATGCAATGGCCTCCACAAATATTAGGACAGTGAAGTAAGTAGTAAGTAAGTGGTTGTGGATGTGCTGGTCATACTGGTAGATCACCTAAACGATTAAACTCAACTGCATCTTTGCACTCACTGCACTGTTACTGTATTTTATGTCCTAGCATTATTGCACTATTCATATTTGCACAGAGATACTGTAAATTTTTTCACTCTGCATGCTTATCATTTTACATATGCTGCTCTGACAGTACATAATACCTATATTTGCATTCTCTCCACTCACTTTGAATATATATGTATATGTATGTTATATATTTATATGTATGTTTATACTTGCAATGTCTATGTTGTTTACCAATCTACCATCCTTAATTGTACATATTGTAACCACAGCATCACTTACCATGGTTACTTTCTTGCACTTTATATGTAAATAATACTGTATTTTGCACTTGTGGTTAGATGCTAATTGCATTTCATTGCCTCTGTACCTGTACTCTGCACAATGACAATTAAATCTAATCTAATCTAAAAAGAAAACATACCCACAAGCTGGACCACCAGCTTGTCAGTCACCTTGACCATCATTGAACATTTCAAACCAGCTCCCAGCTAAATTTGATCTCAGCTGGATTTTTCATTTCTACAGCGGTTCACTGTTCTTATTGATTTTGAGAAGTTTCTCATGTTTTTGAGGTAGATAAACAAAAAAAGAAGAAAGAAAGGAATCAGGTCATGAACAGCTTTCACAACGACTATGTTTACATATGCTTAATAATCCGATCATTATCGGATTTCTGCAGTTATCAGATTATCACGTGCATGTAGGCACACTCAGAGGAGTGACTGATAGCTGAATGAAAACTGATTCCATAGTTTACAGACAGTCCAGCTCAGTACTCACCTTGAACAAACATCTGGATATGTATTTTATACAAAAAACTGTTAATCTTTTTAAATTGTATCATCTTTGTTTATTTTAATTCATTCTCATTTCAAATTATTTAATTTCTTTTTATTACAGTTGTTGAATTTTATCACTTGTTTGAAAAAACTTTAAGCTGACATCTGTATGAAAGGTGCTCTATGTGTAAAGTTTGATTATATGTTGTTTATATGTTTATTAAATATAATGTAAAGTTGTAATGTAAAATTGTAATGTTTGTGTGGTTTTATGTTCCAAAAACCATCAGTGTTCATTTTACATGACATCACATTTTCCAACCTCTCTTTATCCCAGTTATCTCTGTTCTGATTGGGTGCCTTTTTTAAAAGCGCTCAAAGCTGAAACACCCCTTATAGCTTCAGTGTGACAGTGTGAGCCAGTTTTCACTGAAGTCCCTGTAGTTGTTGAATAAAAAGCTTTAGTAGGTGGACAGCAGGTGGGTAGCGCTGTTGCCTTACAGCAACAAGGGCTTGGGTTCAATTCCCTGGCTAGGAGGCCAGGGTCCTTTCTGTCTACACAGGGTCCTTTCATGCCTTTCATAGTCCAATGACATGCAATCTGGCCACTTGGTAGATCCTAAATTGGCCCTGTGTATGTCTGTGTAGCTGACCTGTCCAGGGTGTTTCCTGCCTTCTGCCCAGTGAATGCTGGGATAGGATCCAGCACCACCCGCAACCCAGGAGGAAAAGCAGCTTAGAAAATGTGTGTGTATGTGTGCCTTAGTAAAAATAAGCCTGAGCTTTTAAGGTTATAATGCTTATATATGACTTCAACACCTTTATTTCCAGTAAGAGAGGGAAATTGATATGAGCACATTAAATAGCTTTCCCACTCTCTTTTTGATTCTGCTGCAGTCAGTTATTTTTGAAGTGTGTCTGAGTGCACACTGCCCCACTGAGGGAGAGTGCAAAAAATCACCTATTAAAAACTACAGTAATGCATTTGAAATGGAAATTGTACTAGGTTTTGAATTAAGTATATTTGGGCTGATCAAGACAGATTTAAAAATTCCAAATAGGATTAAGGAAGCCTTGGCCTTTTGCATCACTTCTGGCTAAGAGGAGGATATCGATTAATTGGAAATCACCCTGTCCACCAAAGGCATCTGTAATCTTATGCTATTCCTTAAATTGGAAAAGATTAAGTTCTCAACCAGAAAAGCATCTATAAAATCCCTTAGAACTTGGGACCCCACTAATTAGCATTCCCTCTTCCTCTTCCATGATAATGTCATTTTTTAACTGGAATTCTAATGTTTGTAGGATGATCTGACCCCATCTGCGTTTGTATGATTACTTCCTAACCTAATTAACCCCTTAAATGGCCAGGAAGTTTTATTACACACATTCTATAATCTAAAAATAGCTCAGCCAGTTTGCGAGTCCCTGTAGTTACTGAATGATAAGCCTCAGTGTGTATAAGCCTAGGATTTTAAGGGCTTAATAGCCAAATAATGTATATGTTTATATATTAATGAGTAGTTTTTTTGTTTGTTTGTTTGTTTGTTTTGTTTGTTTGTAATGTTGGTTTTTGTACAGTTCATGCTATTGTGTAAATAGTGGAATGTACACGTGACAGTGTATTTGCATATTCCCACGAATAAAAACCATGCATTAGCCTTTGGAAAAGAAAAGCAGCCTGAAATCAATCAACCACTCCTTTGGGCTGAAAACTTCAGACAAATGTCCTTCAGCTTCATATTATATACAAATTTATGTTCGAAGGTTCCCTCAACATATCATTTTTGTATGCATAATTATAGTAATAGTGTGATTTAAATGCAAACACTAAAAATATTACTAGGGGTGCAATACAATGGCCTGCACCTTTATTAGTTGTTTATTAATCCTTTATTAGTTGTGCTTGAATGGAAGCTTTAAATATGCTCCACAAGTTCTGAGAAGCTGATAAAGTTGCTATTTTTGCTGCTGTTTTTAATAAAAAAGTTATAAGATTGTATAAAGATATTAAAAGGACAAATATGAGACAGAAGTACTGAACGTCCTGTTTTATTTCCAGGAACATGCTGTATATATATATATATATATATATATATATATATATATATATATATATATATATATATATACCGATCAGGCATAACATTATGACCACCTCATTGTTTTTACGCTCATCGTCCATTTTATCAGCTCCACTTAGTATATAAGACTTTGTAGTTCTACAATTACAGACTGTAGTCCATCTGTTTCTCTATATACTTTGTTAGCCCCCTTTTACCCTGTTCTTCAGTGGTCAGGACCCCATGGACCCTCACAGAGCAGGTGGTGGGTCATTCTCAGCACTGCAGTAACACTGACGTGCTGGTGGTGTGTTAGTGTGTGTTGCGCTGGTCTGAGTGGATCAGATACAGCAGTGCTGCTGGAGGTTTTAAACACTGTGTCCCCTCACTGTCAACGCTATTAGACACTCCAACCTTGTTGGTCCACCTTGTAGATGTAAAGTCAGAGACGATAGCTCATCTGCTGCTGTACGTTTGTGTTGGTCATCCTCTAGTCCTTCATTAGTGGTCACAGGACACTGCCCACAGGACGCTGTTGGCTTGATATTTTTGGTTGGTGGACTATTCTCTGTCCAGCAGTGACATTGAGGTGTTTAAAAACTCCAGCAGGACACTTTTAGACATATTGTATGTTGTAAAGGAAGGATTGTAAGATTGGACTCATTACCTGCATCAGTTGTGTTAGATTTAGGTTTGAGCTAAAGTCTGCAGGGAGGCAGATCTCCAGGACCAGGACCGGGTGCCTCTGATCTACAGAATTTATGTTCATCTGCTGAATTTAACATATTGGAAAAAATAAAACATAAAATATAAAATGTGCCATAACATTTGCACAGGCCACATTTTATTTTTTTTTAAGTTAAACTTAGCAAATAAACAGTAATTGTGCATTAAAATGTGCAGAAGTGTGTCTCTGTAGAGGATGTGTTCATTATTTACACTCAGAAAATCAACATCAACATGAAAGTTGACCCATAAACTTTTGAATATGACTGAAATTATTAGTATTTCACTAATAAAAGTAGTGTGATGTAGTGTACACTTAAAATGGTTCTTCAAGGGTTCTTTAGTTAGAAAGGGTTCTGTATAGAACCATGAACACTTAAAGAACCCTTTGCATGATTAAAGGGTTTTTGCATCATTAAAGCGTTCTTCAGATTGTTAAAGTATGTGTTGTTTATGGTTCAATATAGAACTTTTTTAAAAAGGGTTTTATATAGCACCAAACACGGTTCTTTTATTGTTACAGTGTCAAGCTTGTTACAATAGGATAACCATTTTTGGTGCTATATAGAACGCTTTTCAAAAAGTGTCTATATATAACCATGTACAACACATTCTCCATCAATGTGAAGCACCCTTTTACAATGCAAAGATTCCTTTAATCGTGCACATGGCTCAAGGGTGTTTGTGGTTCTAGACAGAACCATTTTCTTTACTAAAGAACCCGTGAGGAAACATCTTTTTAAGTGTGTAGAGTAATAATATAAAATATACCTTATTTATAAGTATATTGTTTTGTCTTTTAGACCCTGAGCCCACCACAAATATTGCATATTATTAGTTAGTGCCCTGCTGTGGAGGCTTGTTTTGTGTTTGTACGTGTTTCGCGCGGCCTGTAGGGGGCAGTCTCGCGCCGCTGTGTTTTGCCTGCCGGGATTGTAGCGGAAGAAGAGCGTCGCTAACTTACCCTGCTAGGCTACTAGCCGCTTCGCTTTGGTTTGGGACTGAGATTTCCAGATTTCCATCAAAATGCCGGCGGTGTCTAAAGGGGACGGGATGCGCGGACTTGCCGTCTTCATCTCGGACATTAGAAACTGTGAGTGGTTCGGCTGCGGGCGGCACTTAGTCCCGCTAACTTCCTCCAGCTAATGAAGCTAAGCTAAAGCTAACTGGCGAACTGACTCAGAACTTCAGAGTTTATAAAGTTAGAGTTACTGTTCCGACATTAACGTAACATCTTATTCACACTCTTAACACGCCTAATAGCGAGATAAATAATTTACTAAAATGCTAAAATAATGAGTTGTGTTGCTGGTTTGTTGTGAGTGAAAGTGGAGTAGCGGCTCTGTAGGTGTGGTTAATGCAGTCAACGTTAAAGTTAAAGACAGACAGCAGGGCGATTACAACCAGACTAAATAATCCCAACTAGACTTAACCATCACATCTGGACTGAATGATCTAAACTTAACTGGATAAGATGGTCTTAACCACACTTCAGTGAACTAGACTAATGGATCTTAAGCAGTATTTCTTGCAACACAGTGTTTATCACAGACCAGTCTCTTACAGTGAGGACCTATAATGATCCTACACTGTATGTCCAGACCGTCTAATCAGTGAATTAAGCTACTTCACATGTAGTTTGTGTAATTACCGTAGAAAATAGCCCAGTTTGGGCTAGAGGGGTATAAAGCCCCCCAGCATTGGGTTGTGGAGCAGTGGAACTGTGTTCTCTGGAGTGATGGAGCTCCATCAAACACTTCTGGGTTGAGTTGGAGTTATCCAGAACTGATCATCCAACCTCACTAATGCTCAATTAAATCCTCACAGCAAAGTTCCAAGTATAGGCTGTTACTGCAGCACAAACTTACCATTAAGACCCTTCATTTTAGAAGAAAAGCTGGATGAGGTGCCTAGAAACCTTTGAACATGTGGTATTTACGAAACTGTAATATTTCTTTAACAATCTATAGTACTTGTTCTTCCTGGAATATTCCTCATAGCAATATAGAATACTTGTGCTGTAGTGATACTAATCAGAATACTAATTCTGTAGCGAACTATACTAATTGTCAAAATTTCTGTAAAATTCTTATGGTAATGCTGTAGTTTTCTGTTCTGTTACTATAGGTCCTTTTAATAAGAGGTGTTCAGCAACGTCAGCCCTATGATCCACCTAAAAATGTTCTAAAACTGTAAACCAATTCAAAACTGTATGGCTGAGGAAACTAGACATCACAGTGCAGCAGGCGAAGAGAGGGCGTGGCTTTTGCTATAGACACACCAACCCTCAAATGACTGCTGATTTTGATCATAATTTTGGGGGTTTATTTTTGTTAGAGGGTGGCACAGCAGGAATTGAAGAGTTTCCATTGGAGCGCTTTAATTTGGGCCAAACCAACCTGTGTAGGATAGAATTAGAGCCAAAATCAAGACATTTTACGACCTAAAATATGAAAGATTAAGGATGGTCTGATGTGGTACATAAACATTAATAAAAATGTAGTAATTGGGACTAATTCAGCTTGGATTGGCATCATTGAGAAATACGGCGTTTATTTCTGTAGGATTGAAAATGCAGTAAAATGAATAAAATGCAGATATTTTAGTGCAGTAACCCACCAGCACCTGAACATTCTGCTCTTCTGGAGTTAAAAAAATCATCATCAAATATCTGTTTAAAATATTGGTCAAATCTAAACATCACTCTGATGCTGATACGTTTATTTTAAGCATTTAAGTAACTGCGGAAACCGATATGATTCTGATATCAACGTCCTATCAAAAGTCGTATTGAACTCAAAAATATATGTATAATATGTTCATGGAGTTTAATAATGCTGACTTAAATATCATTTATTCCCCTACCCCTGACTAGCACTGAACTCACTTTAGTGTGGCACGGGTCAGATTTGGAATGTGCATGAGCTGTAAGATCAACAAAAATAATGCACTTTACTCACAGAGCACTCAGTAAAACAAAGTGCTGCAGGCTTACATCTAAACTTTCTATAGTCTGACCTGTGAAGTGCTTCTGTGGAGCCGCACATTTCTTCTAGCTTATTAAAGGGCCCATATCAAGGAAACTAGGCTTGGGTGGCATATATTTTTTCATACCTTAATACCTTCCTGAAATTTCACCGGGGGAATAAAGTACATGACAATATTTATGTAGAGAAAAAACAAAAAAAGGAAAAGCTGAGCAGCTGGCGATAGAAGTCACTTATAATACTTTTTGCCGTCTCATCTAGCGTTATTTCAAAATTTTTAAAAAGTGGTTTGCTTTATTTATATGTTTATCAAATAAGTGAACCCAGTGCATGTTTTTTAAGCCCTCATTCAATAAATGTCAAACCGCCTATAGGACAACTGATAAAGGTCAAACAGTGTTGCTAGAGAGGAGCTGTTAGCATTAGCTACTCTACGATAGTCATGAAAGCTATGATAGTCATATGGCCTTGACTGTGCTCCATCGTTTGTTTTTTCTTGTGCTGAAGTTGGCTTCCTATTTGCCAGCTTCTTGTTTAAATTTTCCCATTCCACCTTAAATGGTGCAGCATGTGCATTCTAAAGCCCTGCACCAGAATGTAACTGCTGCACCATTTAAGGTGGAATGAGAAAATTTTATGAAGCTATTCCAGCTGCTGTCATGCTTAGTTTTTCTGAGGTTTTTCCTGACTCTGTTCCCCCCCTTTTTCTGTTAGCGCCACCTATCAGTGAGCCCTCTAAATATAAATAGGAGGAGTGTGTTTAGCCATTCAGATGTGGAATAGGAATTTGACATTCTTTCTTCTTTCTCTTTTGAAAGAAGAGTTTGATATAGAATGTAAACATTCTTTAAGTTCAGTCCGTACTGTCTGTATATCAAAACTATGAATGAATTGTTTACGAATTTGTGAATGAATCTAATCTACATATATACACCGGTTCAGGCTGCAGCAGTTTAGCCACGCCCACGCACACTGAAGTTATAAGGAGTGTTTCAGCTCAGACTGCCTTTTGAATGAGACACAATACAGGACAGCCAATCAGAACAGAGCTCATTTACATAAAGAGAGTTTGGAAAGTGGTCATGTAAAAAAAAAAAAGACTGTTTTAAAGAACTTCTTCCAGATAATTTTATTAGCGTTAGTATGTTTTAGTTATTATAGAGTATGTTTTAGTTATAGTGTCATTATGTTAATTAAGCTGTCAGGTAACAACAAGGTATTCCTAATGAACAACGTAACAGTAATTAGCATTAACAGTTAGCTCACTTTTATCAGCAGGCTCACTGAAATAATCCCAGACTAGATAAAACTAAATGCAATATGAGTGCCTGCTGAATTGAGGAACTTCTCTGAGTGCACATGGTCACAAAAGGAGCTGAAAGAGGAAGTTAGGATTGGCAAATACATTTTGTCTGCATTTAATCCAGATCCACCATCATGCTTTAGTTAAAAAACATGTTAGTACTTTGTTAATGCTTGTTAGTAATTGCCAGAGCTAACTGTCCTGCTTGATCCTGCATTTTCTAGTAACCAGCAGATGAAGGAACATCTTTTTTTAATGGTTGTAAATGATCACATCCACTAACGTACAGGATATCTTATACACTTTGTTTCTGCATTTACAGGTAAAAGTAAGGAGGCAGAGATCAAAAGAATAAACAAAGAGCTGGCCAACATTCGTTCTAAGTTTAAAGGTAAGTTGAAAAGTGAGTTTTTGTTGAAGCAAAGTGACCATATTGTCAGGATATCACATGACACAAAAGCCTTTGGATGGATACCCTCATGCTTATTTTGGCTAGTTTTATCTCCTAAGGATCCTCAAAGTTTTAATTGAGTGAAACACATTTTTCTTTAAGATGGCTGTGATTTGAGTTATGTGTTCAGTCACTTTTCTTAGTGTAACTTTATTCAGTCTATACCTACATATATTGATTGACATCTTGCACATCTTCTATCCATATCAGTTATATTCTGTAATATATATTAATACTCTATCCCCTGTGTACCACTGCATCCAATTAATCTACCTCAGACTCACAAATTGCATATATGGAAATGTGTACAACTGCACATATCAGTGCTGTTATTTCATAACTGATATTATTGTTACAAAAACTGTAGGTTGGCCACGAACGGCTGTGCGTTACTGTGATTTTATCACAGGGAAGAGTGTTCTTAGGCACGGCACGAAGTGCCTAAAACTCCCTTCCATTAGTATCGCTGTATATTGCAGTCATTTCATTAACTTTTTGTTGTATTAACAATGAACATATGATAACACAGCACTGTTTAATGCAAAACTTTTGCTTTAAAAGTACTTTTTGGTTACCAAATTACCACCGTGAGGCTTATTTAGCACCAAGCTAATGATGCCCCTCTTCTCATTCTCAAACGGCTCCCTGCTCCCTACATAGTGCACTACATAGGAATTTAAAGACTGGATCCTGCAGCCCAACAGTGCGAAATAAAGCTAAAAATGATCATTTGGGATTCAGCTACATCTGTATTCGATAAACAACAAACGCAACAAACTGCGCTGCTTTCGGCGCAGCCACTGAAGCTAAAGTGACTCTATCCAGAGACTCGTTAGGCCGCAGACTGAGAGCTCCTTAGTCCTCCGCTTCGCTCTCCATAGCTCAGCTATAACTGCCGGTCTTACTGTTGCTTTTTATGATAAACGGTCAACTAGCCGAATGAAAAAACTCAGTAGAGTAAATAAAAACAGTGAACTAAAACTAAAACTGGTGATAGTGCCCAATAACTGTTACTGTAATTTATTACAGTTTTCTTAATACGTGACTCGTAAATTCTGTTCTTATGACAGGAGGTGCTATGATCGCGGATTCTGTCTTTTCAACGTACAGTGCTGCAGCTGGGCTTCAGCTTTCACTATTAATACATTTCTGTATTATATATTTTGAACTGCAGTGTTGAACATAATAAAAATATGGTTATTATGTAATGTAAATGTTATTGTTTTAAAGGGTGATTTTCAGAACATGTGTTTGAAAATGCCAGCGAATATTTGAAGCCTGTGAAAAGTTGTTCAGGTTAGCCCTAGCCCAGGATTCGATTTCACAATGTTCAGATAGTGGGTACACACCATAGATAGCTGTGTGGAGTGTAAAATTAAAATTGAAAATATAAAAAGACAATTATATCATCTGATATTATTGGTTATCAGGATTTGTAGCCCCCCTAAAATTCTGTATTTTAGGCCGCAGCGTTGTCATATTGGCCATATCTAAGTTAGATGTAACTGATGTAGCTAGATGTAGCTAAGTTAAATGTACGCCTATAGCTGTTTAACTCCCTTAATTCTCTGGCTTATGGCATCCTAAGAAATATTATTGAGTAATTACATGGAAACTGCAAACTGAGTCATTCTAAAGCTGTAGGAGTGAGAAATGCAAGCCTGAAAACTTTCTCCTGACCATTTAATGGACTCACATTTTTAGACAGAAATAAAGATGAAAAAGCAGTTTGGTGGTTTCACATCCATTTTAAACTGTTCATTCAAAATATAAATTTTTTTTTATTGTACTGGTTAGAGGATAATATGATCTCATAAATCAACAGTTTACCAAATCAACAGTTTACAAAACCTTCAATTCCAAGTCAATATCTGACCGAAATAGAAGTTTCTTAAGTTTGACTTAGGGATTGGTGATTAGAGATTGTAGAACTGTGAATGGAACTCAGAGTCGGTCATTATCAGTATTATTAATTAGTTTTTAGTTTTTTAGTTAATAACACTAATAATAATAATGTTTATTTATATAGCACCTTTCATACATTAAAATGCAGCTCTAAGTGCTTCACAATACAATGTAAAAATAACAGGAAGAAAAAAAATAAAAACAAAAATATACAAATAATTAATAGCAGAAAAGGAATATATTAATAATTACAATTAAAAAGCTCAAGTAAAGATAAAAGTATAAATAAAAAATGAAAAAATACAATAAAAATGCAACTGACAAAAAAATAAATGTAACAGTAATATTCCAGTAAAAACAAAGGAAACAAAAAAAATTTGAATTAATCAGTTTCAATGATCAATCAGTTTCAAGATCAAATGATAAAAATGGATGGAACTGAACAATAACAAACCATGTAAAGCCTTTCAAAGATTTTCAAAATATTTACTGGAATAAGATATACCAGGGAACCTTAATATAAATTATATAATATTTAAAATATTTTTAAAACATTATGTGGCAAAACATGAGTGTGTTTTACAAGCTCAGTTCCTCACTGTAAAAGACGGCAGTAGAAGAACTTAATAGGAGAATTCAAAATATATGTATGTATCATCACGCATATTTGCCAACTAATAAATGCTTGTTGATCAAAAAGGCAAATTTACTACAACAACAAGTATTTCGGTTTAATTATCCAGTTAACCATGACAGTCCTACTCCAGCTCATTGCTCTGAAGATGGGTTAGAGTAGCTCAGATTTCTCCAGCTGAAGAGTCAGAAGTGTCCGTTTTCCTGTTGGTTTTTCGTCCAGTCAGGAAGTTTCATGGTTGACCTGCATTTCGCAGTAAAACAGTGTTGTGTGAGTCAGATTCAGTGATAGTGTAGCTGCTTGTTTGCTCCCAGTGGGAAGAAAGTGCTGGTATCTGCTTCCTGTCTGCTGCTGCTGACTCATCTTCATCAGCCTAACCTTTCCTCACTGCTCAGTTCAGCTCAGTTCAGCTCAGTTCCATTCCATTTGCTGTTATTGGAATGGTGTTTTTCGCAGTGGGCATTAAAACAAAGTAGCCCTAAAGAGATCCAGGCCGTCCCTTCATGAGCAAGCTGAGGGTCACAGTCAGAGGAAAAAACATAATGCTCTAAATGGAGCATTACGCTTTTTCACCATTGGGATCATTATGCCCAAGTAAGAGGGGTGATAAGGCAGAAATACAGCATCCTAATAACAGTGTTGCATTTAAAGAGGCTGTTTAGCTCTACTGTTCATTTAGCCTGTAAGAGAAATTAATGCTGGCCTATTATGAACTTCTAGAGAAGTCATCATCAGACTTTGTTTATGTGGTTGCTCCAAATTCAAAGCAAAACGCACATGACGTAGATGAGGTAGCTTTCAGTGTTAGTAAAATACAGTGAATAAAGCACATAGAGGTCAGTTGACTCTCTTTAGCTTGTTTTATACTCTTGCAGATGTGCAGCCTCTTTCAGATTCAGATTCTATGTGATGACTATGAGCAGTGAACGTCACAGAATGTAGGCTGTAAGACTGTAGTTCATGGGTCTACCAAAATTTAGATCAGGAAACCCATGTACTCTTGTTTAGCAGGGTGAAGACCTTCCACAAGGTGTAGCTTTCATATAGCTTTTGGATGCTTTGCATCAGTGACACTGTGAGTTTAATCACCATTTACAGGAATAAACTGTTTGAGAGAGAACAGTTAAAATAAATAAATGAAACTACATTCTGCCCTTGTTTTTGCAACATGCATATGTTAATTGTATTGCAGACAATACCCATGGCATGTCATCACTGTCCAAAGAAAAACAAGTATCTCCAAAATAGTAACTTTACAGGGGAGGGCAAAAACACTCCCACCTTTCAATGTAAGTTAATGTGAAGAGATTTTATTCCAAGTGATTTTAGACCATTTCTTGTTGTCCTTAATCATTAAAATTTTGCACAGTGTAAAGGACAGCTAGTGTGTTGAAATTATGTAGAAAAATAAAAATCAACAAAAATAGAGATACATGGTTTTCTATGGACAGCGACAATATTTATGATGACATCATTTACAATGATAATAACATTTTTCTGTTGGCCACACCTACACTGCCTTATAACATGCCATATTAATACTTTTTAGGTTATGTTGTATAAGACAGTGCCATTTTAGAAAATCTGTGGTTGGAAAAATTATCAAATAAAAACATATAATAATTATGTATTTACTTTATTTACTTTAACTTTTGTACTTTTTAGAATTATTGTTATTAGAACTACATTCTCGATGTTGTGCAGCTTTCTTAGTCATTTCAGATGTTTGTCATTCTGGACACATCTAACATCTTATCATTTTTATTTACAGTTTCCACAGGATGAGCAGATTAGAATAATTTAGTACATTATCTGCATCCAGATTAGTTTTATGTTATTGGAAACCATGATTCCAGACTTTTGAAATGCAGTGTATTAAGTTGTTCATGAAATAATATTGCATCTACTGTACGTTGTTTGTAATTTTGGACCAACTGGTCGTTCTGTCTTTCAGGGTTTAGTGTGTGATGAGCACCATTTTTCTTTAAAGAACACTGTGTTAACATTAGTCTCTGCTGTGCTGTGTTTTAGGAGATAAAGCTCTGGATGGTTACAGTAAGAAGAAATACGTCTGTAAGCTGCTCTTCATTTTCCTGTTGGGCCACGACATCGACTTCGGCCACATGGAGGCAGTCAACCTTCTCAGCTCCAACAAATACACAGAGAAACAGATAGTAAGTGCTGTTTGCATGTTTGTGCTTGTGAGCATTTACAGGTGAAATTATTATTGAAGTAGGTTAGAAGAGGCTGCATGGAGCTGCTTCTAGTTTTTAGAGATGTCTCTGTGTTGAATTAGTAATTGGGTAATCTGCTGATTGTGTTGAGGATTAATAGAGTAATCAGAGTTTTAAAAAAGGGACAAACAATGAAAGTGGACTTGACAACCATAACAAACCATGCACATCCTTTCAAGGCTTCCAAAATACTACTGGGAAATGATAAACAGGAAAGCCTTTAAAAAAACTTGTATAGAATCCACGGAAGCCCTGAAAGGCCATGGATTTGCATATGTTTTCACTCTGTTTTCCTGTGAACATGCGTATTTTATTTGTTTTCTCAAAATGTTGTGTTATTATTGGGTAGCACTGTGCTTGAACACTGTCACGTAACGACATAACCATGTAGTGGGTGGTATACCGGTTCTTCCTCAGGTTTGAGTTTTGCAATAATCAAACAGTCAATCAACCTTTATCTAAACTCGAAGTACGTCGAGGAAGACCCTCATTTAAAATGTAGCTGAGCCAATACAAAAATCATTGTTATACCAACAGATAAGCACAGAGAATGCAATGTACAAACAGTGCAAACTGTGCTCACGTTATCCCGAATCTTAGGGATGTTTCAGTCACATATTAAATGAAAATGAAAATGCGGCAGATCCTCAATCACCTCCCGCTGTCTCTTTCGTTTTATCTGAAGTCATCCACTTTGTTTTCGAGGCAGTGGACATAAAGAACCATGAACACTCGAACCCTTTGCATGATTAAAGGATTCTTTACATTGTGAAAGGTTTATCAGATTGATGGAGGATGTGCTGTAGATGGTTCTATATAGAACCTTTTTAAAAGGTTTCTAAATAGCACCAAAAAGAGTTCTTCTATTGTAACAAGCTTGACATAACAATATAAGAACCCTTTTTGGTGCTATATAGAATCCTTTTTAAAAAAGGCTCTGTATAGAACCATCCATAGTACATTCTCCACCAATCTGAAGAACCTTTTAATGATTCAAAGGGTTCTTTCAGTGTTCATGATTCTATATAGAACCATTTTCTTTACTAAAGAACCCTTGGAGAACCATCATTTTTAAGTGTGTACCATAATATAGTTTTTGGCCATACCACCCACTACTGTAACCACACAATAAGCATTTCTATAGCAGGTGTTATATGCTTTCATGATCTGTCAGGATTTTATTCAGTAGTGCATCAGTGTCATGTTACCATTACTGGAAATTGTCATTACAGATGCTAATGATGTTTTATGTTATGACAGATTATGTTATGTGCAAGTTCTCTAGTTAGCCACAATAACATCAGACATCATCTGTCATGACAGTTACGGTAATGATAACATAATACTGTCATATTAGTGACGTGTTACCAAATTTTGTTTTAATAATATAAAAGAATCATTTTCTCAAGATGTTTGTTCAAGGTAACAACCTTGATCTTCTGAAAACAAAACAGATTTTCTTTTTTTTCTTGCGGTCATTCTCTAGTTTACAAAAGGAGCAGAGCAGTTTCTTTCTCTGTGATAAAAAGTATCAAACAATAATCTAAAAAAAATCTCATGATCATAAATTGTCATTATCTTGTGAAAATAATGTTATATCTGTAATGATAAATAAATCAGGATATCAAGAAAATGACTCATTGTCACACAAAAGCAGAGAAATTAAAATGTGCTTCCATACAAATCACAAACAGATGCTGAAATTTTTATCAGTTCTGTTCTGAGACTGAATAATTGAGGTTAATTGACAGCCCTACTGTGCCTGGTTCTTATGTTGTCAGTTTTTGCCTGTCATTTGTGTTTTTTCGTACTGAATGCTTTTTACAGTGGATGTGTTTTTCCTGCTGTTTTTCAGGGCTACCTGTTCATCTCAGTGCTGGTGAACAGTAACAGCGATCTAATCAGACTGATCAACAACGCCATAAAGAACGACCTGTCCAGCAGAAACCCCACCTTCATGAACCTCGCCCTGCACTGCATCGCTAACGTGGGCAGCAGGGAGATGGCAGAGGCTTTCGCAGCAGATGTACCGCGCATCCTGGTGGCCGGGTGAGAGAGGGAGGCGGGTCAGCTCTTATAACAGGGCATGTTTTAAAGCCCCTGTCTACTTGTTTTCATGAGTATTAAAAGCTGTTATCTATTTTTTTTTTTATGTTTTTACATTGAACTGGCAGAGAAAGAATTCTCCTGGTCTTTTTTGTTAAGAGATTTTTGAGATTACTTTTTCATTCGGTATGAGTTGGGACTAAATTCAGCATCAGATCTACCAAAGTACCGGTCAGAGTTAGCAATGTGCTACTCGCGTTCGTCTGACTGCTCTCTCACTGCTCCGAATCCTAGACATAGCTCCCAGCAAGTAAAGTCAGGTTATTTAAGCTTTTCTAAGTGTGTTAATGTTTCATGTTATGATGGTTTATTACACCATTGTTTGTAGCGTAGCTAGACACTGCTTCCTAAAGATCAAAGCATAAACTTCACCCCACCATGTTGAACTCTATAAACTTTCACTATGACGTGAACACACGTGCAGAACATACTTAAACTTTCCGATTGGGAATGTAATCGGATATAGGCGTTTACATGGTTATTATTCTTCTATTTAACAGATTATTTACAGGATTATCCACCTCATTCAATTGGATAGAAATTGTATTCCAAATGGCTTAGACTATTCTAAATGAGGTGTATACATGGACCTTTATATTCCAATTGAGCTCTTAGTCAGATTAACGGATTATCCGGCGGCGAGTAAAGGTGGCTGCTGTATCCTCACGTGTTGTTTACAGGTGTGATGCACAATAAGGCACATTTTCCCACCGTGTCTGCAAATCTGATCGTATCAACTAATAACGGGAGCTCAGTGTGACCTCTGTTTCAGAAGCACGGTCCAGCAGTTAGCGAGCCATCTTTAGGTTACGGATATAATGTTAGTGCTGACTGTTCAGCACGCACGTCCATGATAAAGCAATCATGAGGTGAAAGCCTGAGTTCTCCAACAGTATCTGCAAAATGTAATTAGATTTCTAAAATGACCATCAGACAGTTTGTTCTCCATTTTGCAATTCTTACTCAACATTCAGAGAGCAGCTGAGAAAATTGTCTTGTATCTCGTCTGATTTTCTGCAGGGGTCTCAAACACATAGGGCTGAACCAGCCCTATTGTTCACATTATTTACGTTATTTGTTGTTTATTTTATGATCTGACACCCATGCAGTTATATGCAGGCGCCAGCTGGGAATTTTTAGGGTATCTATTAAACTGTGTTCATTTATTTACTTAATTCATTTATGGTCTTGAACATAAATGGTAAACAGTTCTTCTGCAGCATATGTTTACATTTTAAAGGGCCCATATCATGAAAATTTTCCTCACGTTTTTTAAATGGTTTGATGTAACAGGTAAATATTTCTCGCCCAATCTCACATCCCCGTCCTGATTTCACTTCCCAAGGACAGATTTAGCAAGTTTAGCATGTTTTTATCATACATAATTCACATGTGTGCTAGCTTTGTTATGTTTTTATATGAATATATTTATATATATGTTTACAAAACGTCAGGCACATAAATATCTACCTATGCCTTTTGAAGTTCCTCCCAGAATTGTTGATTGACCGGAAACCAGGGGAAAGAAGATCAGGACAGGGATGTGAGATTGAGCACCACACCGGATATGGAAACTAAGCTGCAAAATGGCCTGTTTTAAATTAAAATTGTTTGGTTTAATCGTTGCTGTAGCAGAGCATAAAAAATTACATGCCTGTTTGTGTGTGTTTTACAGGGACACGATGGACAGTGTGAAGCAGAGTGCAGCTCTGTGTTTATTACGACTCAACCGCACCTCTCCTGACCTCATCCCTATGGGGGAGTGGACCTCGCGCGTTGTTCACCTTCTCAACGATCAGCATCTGGTACGACTCCAGCCTGGTCAACTGTAAATATTCAAGTGATAGTTTGGCGACAAATCAAATGTATACTGTTTTCCCTGCTTGCCTCAAACATAGTCAGTCAGACAAGACATGTTGAGTGTCTGAAGTTTGCTTCTTCAGTTTTAGCACTGGAAATATGAGGCTAATGTAGCTAACAAGTAATAGAAGTTTATACCAATTAACATGGTGCTAACTGCATGCCTAAACTATCACATATTCTCCTCAAACCTTGTGGAGTAGTCCAGTAAGCTCTAATAGACTTGTTTATGTGTCTTCTGATGCTATGTGACACTGTTATATGTAAACACGGCCTACAGTTGGTCCATATAGCCAAATATAGCATATTTAAATTTTTGTTTAACTTTTATATTTTATGACATTTTTTACTTAATTTCATACAAAGTTGAAAGTATAGCAATATATCTAGATAATAATAATGGTATTAATGTGCAGGGAGTGGTGACTGCTGCAACTAGTCTCATCATCACCCTGGCCCAGAAAAACCCAGATGACTTCAAGACTTCTGTTTCCCTGGCTGTGGCCAGACTCAGCAGGGTAAGATCCTTATTCACAACAAGGCTTTCAGGCTCTGTAAAAACGACCCAGCCATTTTCTTATCTTTTAGTCGGTACTACATTTCTGTTTGTAAGTAGAGATGTATATACACTATATGGCCAAAAGTATGTGGACGCCTATACTTTACACCCATATAAACTTGTTGCACATCCAGTTCCAAAACCATGGTCATTAATATGGAGTTGCCCCACTTTGCAACTATAACAACCTCCACTGTTCTGGAAAGCTTTGCGCAAGATGTTGGAGTGCATTTGTGGGAATTTGTGCCATTCAGTTAAGAGCATTTGTGACGTCAGACTTTGATGTCGGACAAGAGGGCTTGGCTCACAATCTATGTTTCAGTTCAAAGGTGTTCAGTAGGATTGTGGTCAGGGCTCTGTGCAGGCCACTGGAGTTCCTCCACACCAAACTCGTCGCACCATGTCTTTATGGAGCTCGCTTTGTGCACAGGGGCTCAGTCATGCTGGAACAGGAAAGAGTCTTCCCCAAACTGCTGACACAAAGCTGGAAGCATATAACTGTGTAAAATGTCTTTGTATGCTGTAGCATTAACATCACCCTTCACTGGAACTAAGGGACCCAAACCCTGAAAAACAGCCCCAGCCCATTATCCCTCCTCCACCATACTTTACTTTTGGCTCTGTGCATTCCGGTAGGTAACATTCTTCACCAAACCCAGATTGATCTTGGGCTTGTGTGCAGCTGCTCTACCATGGAAACCCGTTTCGTGAAGCTCCCGATCCACAGTTCTTTTGCTGATGTTACCTCCAGAGGAAGTTCAGAGCTCTGTAGTGAGTAATGCAACAGAGGATAGGCCCTGTATGCTTCAGCACTCTGTGGCCCTACTTTGTGAATCTGCATGGTCTACTGCTTTGTGGCTGAGCTGTTGCTTGTAGACGCTTCCATTTCCACTTCACAGACTGACTTGTGGCAGAGGTGGCATGCAATGACAGCACCGTGTTTAAAGTCACTGAGCTCATCAGTCTGACCCTCTACTGACAGTGTTAGTCTATCGAAATGGCTGTGTGTTTAATATTGTACACCTGTTAGTAATGAGTGTGGCTGAAACACCTGAACTCAATAGTTAGGAGGGGTGTCCATATACTTTAGATTTACTGTATTTTATTATGATTTGCGTTATTGTTGTCTTGTTTTGGCAAAAGAAAATTATCCTGTACACTTTTAACGTTAAAACTTGTAAGATCTGACCATGCAGAAAGGAAAACGTACATAAATGTAATTCATTATGTAAATAACCATGTGAATAATTATGTAATTAATTATATACATTACATAATTAGATGGTTATATAATGTAAGTCGAATGTTAAGTAACGCAACAATAACTGCAGACGTTGGGTTAAAACTGTGCTGACAAATCAGTGCAGTCCTTTACAGTGTTGATGGCAGAAGTGAGATTTTGTTTAGTGGATCTGATGAATGCTCAGTTATTTGACAACAAAACACAGCTTCACAATTGTTCTGTTTTACACACATTTTGCCAAAAGACCAATTTGTAGTGTTTATCTAGTCCTCATTACCAAGCAAAGTGGTCCGGGTACAAAGAAATAAGGCTAATGAGCTGCCACTTGACTGGCTTTATTGATACGTGCTGGAAAAAGACTTTGAGCAAAACACGAGCCAGAATATAAACAAATATCCACTGTGTTATTTCAACTAATTCATCAGTTGTTATTTATGTGCCAAGTTTGTGTCTGCACATAATTTAATATTCATATTTGTAGTTATAACAGTGAGGATACTCATGGTTTTGGAGGACGTAATGTGTGTTAAACACATTTTTGTGTGTTTTAATCAGATAAAATCAATGCTTTATTTTGTTTTTGCTTCTTTCCTCTTTCTCAGATTGTCACTTCAGCATCCACAGACCTGCAGGACTACACATATTATTTTGTTGCCGCGCCGTGGCTGTCAGTGAAGCTTCTTCGTCTACTGCAGTGTTATCCTCCACCAGGTAGAGACATGTTGTTTTATGGGTGATGTGTGCTTTTAATTTTTTTTTACCTATTTATTTTATTTTGCCCAATTTTCTCCCCAGTTTAGCCATTGCTGAAAAACAGCTTTAGGACTGACTAAAAAAAAAAAAATGTTGAGGCAGATACGAGATCTGAACAATTTAAGCCAAATATCTGATGGCAAGAACATTGGCAATCAGAACTTTAGCCTAAATTGTTCCTGACTGCGAATGTTATGACTGCGATTTGAATTGTGATTATTTTCTATTAATTGAGGTCCAGGTAGGGCTGAACCTCAGTTGTGATATACATTGTGATAATGATATATATTGTGATAAATTATGTCACAATACAGTACAATTTGCTTTTCTGAACATATTGTATACATCGTCAGTACCTGTAGAACACTGACCAACTCCACGTTTTATTATAAAGAGAGCAAAATTAGTCCCGTTTAACTGGATTTAGTGCAGCACAGTATGCCAAATATTGAATAGAAATCATTGTATTCACAGTTTTTGTTAGTATTTTTTATCAGTCCCAACTGATCAGAAGGCTGAAAAAATAAATATTGTGATATATCATTTATCATGGTAATTTCTTAAAATATCACAATATTATGTTTTTGCCATATCGCCCACCTCTTGGTCCAGGCCTGTTGTGTTGGCCAAGATGATCCACATGTCCATTTTGCTGGTTTTAGTTGAGTCTAGTTGAGTTGTTGTCAATCAGACAAGACATAATTGGTATCTGAAGTTTGTTTTTTTAGTTTTAGCACTGGAGCTACGAGGCAAATAAGTAATGTAATGTAAAGTAAAGTAATGAAAGCTTACAGACACCTGATAACATTGTGCAAAAGTTCTGACAAATTATTTCGTTTTTTAACTTTATGATTTTTAGCAATGCAGTACACTCTCTGTTTATAGATAACAGTCATACAGTGTCAGAAGCCACATGATCAAGTGTGTTGGGGACTTAAAGGGCCCATGTCTTATATATTTTTTTTTCCATTTTATTTTTCCTTTTGAGGTCCAATTATGAGGTCTGTGTGATTTTGTGAACCAAAACTAGCCATAATTAATTTCTACTTGACCATTTTCCACCCTGTCTTTATCTCTTAGAATTAAACAGGCTGCTTTTGTTACTGTCCCTTTAAGATTGTTATATGTGAACGAGCTCTGTTCTCATTGGCTGCCCTTTATTGTTCCGCATTAAAAAGCAATTCGTATGTATCTCCTTGTAAGTGTGAATGCGCAGGGCGAACCAAGCTTCTTAGCGGCTTATTTTTCATATGGTCTGTATGGACTGGTTAATAAACGGTACATTTTGAAGCTTTAACACTGTTTACATACCACATCAAACTATTTTATTTCAAAAAAAGCAGTGGAAATTAGGTTTTCCATTAAAGGGACCCTTTAACAACTCCACACAGTTTGAGACAAGTGTGAAGTGATGCTAATTACTGAAGTATATACATTACTTGTTGGCTACATAAGCTTTCAGCATAAAACTAAAAGAGCGAACTTCAGACACCAAACTTGTCTTGACTGATCGACTACATCTGGCATAAGAGGAAAATGGTCTGAATTAGATTCTTGTCTGAACTATCGCTTTAATGTCCGTAAGGAAATATATTTGTTTGAAAGCTGGACTGGAGAAGCTGTTCCTAAAGAACCCACGTGGCCACATGTTGCTGGAGCCTAATTTCAGTGCTGCCATTGGTACAGCTGCTTATTTAAGGACTAATGATAAAACAGAATGTTCCACATTGCTAATGGGCTCAAAAGGTTTATTGGCTGAAGGGCCGTGTATTTGGATGGGCTCCTGATTGTGCCTGGCTCTTGCAATCAATGCTGGCTGCTATATTTGAGGGAAAAAAAGCAGACAGCTCCCCATCACAGACACTTTAGTGGAGACTCAATAGAATGAGTCATTCAATAGACACATTGTGCTGAGTGAGATCATAGGATCATTTACTTTACAGAAAAGGTGTATTGAGTCCTCCACAGGCTGGATGACTACCTCTGCAGTTGACTTTGCAATGATTTGAGCAAATATTTGTTTTGCTGTTTGATTTAGTTGATAGAATCATTGATGGTTTAGTTGCAATATGCAAATGAGCCCTTTAACCAATTACGTTGTTGTTTAGCGTGAGCATCCTGACCAATCACAGCTCCAAATGAGTGTCTTTGGGTGTTTTGATGAATGAAGGTGTTCATGTAATCCAACAGAAATAAATTATTTTGGGCAAAACCAATACAAACCAGTCTTTAACCACGTTACATAATCCATTCACTAATGCAGGTAATATTGCAAATGCAATATTAACCATATAATCTAATCATATTACTAGTATGTTGTACAAATCATACAGCTCAATATCATAGTACCAAATGTAGAGTTGAGGGATGATTATGCTGTGTGTGTGTGTGTGTGTGTGTGTGTGTGTGTGTGCGCGTGCATACTAGCAACCACCTGGGATATGATAGCAATGGCCTACCATAGAGCCCCTGGGATACTGGGACTTGGCAGCACCTGAGGCACCGTAGCAATGAGCTAGCAACACCTTAGCAACCACCTGGGACACCTTAGCTATGAGCTACCAACACCTTAGCAACCACCTGGGACATCGTAGCAATGAGCTAACAACACCTTAGCAACCACTTGGGACACAGTAGCAATGAGCTAGCAACACTTTAGCAACCACCTGGGACATTGTCGCAATGAGCTAGCAACAACTTAGCAACCACCTGGGACATCATAGCAATGAGCTAGCAGCACCTTAGCAACCACCTGGGACACAGTAGCATTGAGCTAGCAACACCTTAGCAACCACCTGGGATACAGTAGCAGTGAGCTAGCCACATCTTAGCAACCACCTGGTATGAAACAACAACACCTTAGCAACCACCTGGGATTTCATAGCAACCGTTTTGTCAAGCCAACTTAGTTTCTTGTTCAAGTATGTTTTTGTTATTTTAGCTATGACGATGTTTAGTGTTAATGACTCCAGGAAGATGCTTAACCCTGATTGTTGTTTTCTGACTTAAAATTAGCAGCCTAATGCTGACAGAAAACGTGACGCCTTTGTTTTATAGTTTAATAAACATGCATATGCATTAGCTTGAGTATTGGAAGCACTGTACAGTGTTTTGTCTGCTGTAGTTACTATTACAAGCAAAGGGTGCTTGGATCCCTTTAATTGCTGCCTGTAGCATGTTTATTGTTATTTCCATTTGTTTGCATGGATTTGTACATATATTGAAGTCAGCTTACCATGCTTTTGTGTGTGTGTGTGTGTTTCAGAGGATGCAGCGATTCGAGGACGTCTAACCGAATGCCTGGAGACAATTCTGAACAAAGCACAGGAGCCTCCAAAGTCCAAGAAAGTTCAGCACTCCAACGCGAAGAACGCTGTACTGTTTGAAGCCATCAGTCTCATCATACACCATGACAGGTCTAAAGCTTTGAAGTTCTCACTGTATTCAAACTGAAACTTCTGAAGTTTCTAGCTAGAGCTGGTGGTATTGTGTGACTGGGGGAGTCCTAACTATGGGGTGGAACTGGATTAGACTAAATTGGGAAGAAAATTTGCGGGGGGGGGGGGATAGCAATCCGGGCTGAAACACTCCTTCTAACTTCAGAATGAGTGGGCGGGGAAACTGTAGCCTGAATAGGTGGGCATATAAATTTATGAAAAGAGTACATTCAAAAAATACGTAGCTTCCATAAACAGCCTTTTACATACGTTAAACTCTTTCAAAAAGCGAAGTTTTTTTTCAAGGATGTGGGCCCTTTAAGAACCTAAAAATTGTGATAAATATCGGCTGGTATAATTTTCTATGGCCAAAATTACTCTGACTTCTACTTAAACAGTACATTACTCAACAAGAAAATTATAAAAAGGCCTCCCAGCATATTTAGCATTTTGGTTGGATTCTGTTAATCAGTTAATTTTCTTATTTTCATCATTTCTCTTTACATAAAGCCATTTTGGAGTTATTACACAATATCTATACACTAAAGGTCAGTTTTAGATTTCAGCTTTTTTTTTTAGCCATGATAACATTTACTATTAAGGGTTACCAGTGTAACCTGTATTGCTGTATAACCATGAACAATGAGTTACTGTCAGCTTGGCAGTCTGTGAAGGAACTTGCGAAAGAGCGTGAAGCCATCAGATTTCACAGAATCAGGCGATCTTGGAGCCATCTGTTTATTTCTGTATAAAAGAGGTCATTTATAAATGCTGCTGTACTGATAAATTCAAGTCAGCATTGTCTATCAAGTGCAGCTGAGCTTGTAACACATGCAATGAAATCTAACCCTTAACTGAAACCTGAAACATTAACTTCAACCCACAACATAATTTTCTATGACAATAGATTAATATCTTACCAGTTAGTTTGTTAATAATATAATATAGATGTAGATGTAGGGGACTGTCAGAATAAAATGTAATGCTAAATTGTCCTTGTTCTCTCTCTTTCTTTGTCTTGCCTCTCAGTGAGCCGACGTTGTTGGTACGTGCGTGTAATCAGTTGGGTCAGTTCTTGCAGCACAGAGAGACTAACCTGCGCTACCTGGCTCTGGAGAGTATGTGCACCCTCGCCAGTTCAGAATTCTCCCATGAGGCTGTCAAAACGCACATCGAGACTGTAATTAATGCCCTAAAGGTAAGCACTTCTTCTCCAGTGACAGAATATGTTCTCTAGTCGTAGAGTATAACAGCATTTCTCATCGTCAGTTCTGGGGAACACTGTCCACAGCACGTTTTTGTTTCCCCTGCTGGTTCAGCTCCTCAGGAACCTGTCAGACCTTTCATGAATGCAAAAAATAAAGACCTAATGTCCACAGATATTCTAACACTATAATGTTCGCTCAGCTAATGAACATCAGTTTTCACTTTTTTCGTAAATTCCCTCTAAGGGTGAGTGAAAATAATACATCAAGATGCTTGAAGGAGTCCTTTCCACGATACACACTGGCCCGTATTCATCTGAGTTGCATGCAGTCAAATCTGATTGTAAAATCAGCACAGATTTCACTGACGGTTTTGTTATTTATCAGTTTCATCCCTGGCGTATCTGTACGATCAAACTGGTAGCAGTGCTTGTAAATGTGAGTGTAATATTTTAGCAACCTGAGAAAAACGTCTGATTTACGGGTAAATCATCAAAACTGTTGTCAACCACACTAATAAAATCAGCAATAAGCAATCCGTGTACTAAAGTAAATGTCGTTATTATTTACACTGAAATAAACAAATGCTGCTTCTATACTTTCCATTTAAAGGCGTTAGCTTTGTACTACTGATTCAGTAGCTACCTACAGTATTTACCTACTACAGTGGAAGCTCATATACTGCATATTACCATTCAAGCAGCCAGTGTTTTATGAAAATAATCACACTACACAATCATATCACACTACCAACTGGAAAAAATATATTTCATTAATTCGTTGTAATTTTATCACTATAAAGGGAGTGCACCTTCTGCCTGACCCCAAATTCGAGCCAACCAGCTCAAGAGCTGCTGAATACTTTTGTTTTATTGTCTCACTGTTAAAACATCTGCATGAATAAGGGTGTGCTTCATGTACGTCATTCGTATTTGAGATCAAATTGGGGCGTGCTTTGCAAATGATATGTAAATAAGGTGCGTAATTTACGTTCTAATAGTTATATTTGGGTGGGCATTACGATAGTACGGTCCGAATGTGGCAAGGCAGCTTTTACTTACAGCGCTACATCTGTGTGGTATGATCTGCGGAAACAATTGAAATTGGAGCAGTTTATTTCCTTGAGTGATTTTAAGATAATTGTTAAAGAAATATATCATTCTGTTTGTTCTTGTTTTTAATTTGGTTTTCACCCTGATTTGATTTTGTTGGTGGTGGTGTTTCTCTGATTGTTATGTGTGCGCTTATTTTCACGCACTGAAGCTGGTTTTGTCAGTCGCACTCAGATCACTGGTGACCAACATTATGCAACAGTTTCCTGAATCAGAAGCAGAATAGTTCATATGTCACTCAGGATGGTCAAATATGCACTGGTTTATATGCAAATTTGATAGAACAATAGTGCTAAAAAAAAAAGACTGTAGTAAAGTACAGTGATGTTTGTGCTCAAACTTTGCAAATATAAACTATTTTAGAAGGAACATGAGTGAAAAGATAAACAGCTGAAGATAAATGGATAAAATATGGTAATAGCGTAATGGGCTGACATCTCATCAGCTTATTGTTAGTATGCAGTTTATGCAGTTACACTGATGTTGCTGTTTACAGGCTCTTTCTTTTGTCTAAGTATGTCTGTTTAAGGATGCAGTTGTTCAGTGTACTGATCATACAAATCAGATACTCAGAAAAGAGTACTGTGACGTAATTTATCTCAATAACAGAAGCCATAACATACCGTCATGTTGCTTTTCCCTACAGTATTTATTCTTAGTTTATTTATTCATACTGTATTTATGTGTTTCATGCTGAATTGCACCTCTAGACTGTGTACATTTCTGTGTCCCCATGCAGACTGAGCGGGACGTGAGCGTACGGCAGCGTGCAGTTGACCTTCTTTACGCCATGTGTGACCGCAGCAATGCCAAACAGATCGTTGCAGAGATGCTCAGTTACCTAGAAACAGCCGACTACTCAATCAGAGAGGAAATCGTAAGTTTGTGGTTGCCATCCTTTCAGTTTCTTCTGTGACAGAACTTCAGTGAAACTTTATATTGTTAAATCAGCTAAAATTTATAGTACTGGATGATGATGATGATTATTATTATTATTATTATTACTGGTGTATTGTTACAATATTGGGTTTTAATAAATATATTTCTATTATATGTAGATTACGTACAGTATACATTCAAAGGTTTGTAGACATCTGCTTATCCAGTGCGTCATCTGAAATCAAGAGTATTAATAGGGAGTTTGTCCTGGTTTTCTACAGTAACAGACTTTTTAAGCCATTCTATTCTATTCTATTATATTATATGATGATCATAATACAGAGTGTGTCATTCCACAGAACAGACATTTTCTGTGGAGATTATACAAGCTGTGCACAACTAAATGCCTATGTCAATTGCAAATTGCTAAATGTAACCATCACTACATCTGTTATAAACATGCCTACTCCCCTCCTACACAGGTACCACAGCAGTCTTCCTAATAAGATTTTCCAGTGTAAAAAGTGAGGGGAAAAAAAACTCTTTCTGATGAAGTTTGTTGAATAAGGGGAGACCTTTTGAAAAATTGCAACTGCTTTTGATTTTGGAGGCATATTTTGGAGGCAACTTTGGTCTTTTTTAGCTGATGAATGCTGATGGAAGGCAGATAATGTTAACTACTAGGAAGCCGAATATCTTTTTGCAGCCGTATAACATTAGTTACTATCTTCAAATGATCGTTGCAGTGGAGAGAATAGATTACGCAAACATCAGAAATGACTTGTCAGGTGTGAAGTACAAGCTAAAAGCTGCAGTTATCAAAGTGACTTAACGGGTAAAAACTTGTAACTGTCATCCATTTTGTTCTGAGTAAAGATAGAATTGCTGCTTTCTTTATGATTTTTCAAAAGCTAAGGTAAGAGTTACACTAATGCTGGCTTGGTTGTATTTATTAGCTTATTTATTAGCCAATAGATTAGTGGCTAGGCTAGCAGAATTGGTTGACACCACAGGGATTTGCAATGGCTGTATGATATATTTGCGTAATTCATGTTGGGTGTTGTATTGAGAGAACATTGAAGTGTGAAGACATGAAAAGCAATAGAAAATTGTGAATTCTCTCAAAGCAGCGGGGCTGAGGGATACAGCGAATACAACATATGCTACAGTACAGGATACAGATAACATACTTGGCCCTAGTTTTAGTTCAGAATGCCACTTTAAAGTAGCTGAATTCAATAATTAGAAGGTGTGCCTAGATACTTATGGACAGTGTATTTTCCTATTAATAGACTAATTATTAAATATTTTACTTTTTCAGAATACAATTTGACCAAAGTTGAGGTTGTCGTTTCATAACTTACAAACAATGCAGTTTGATTTAGCTGTCTGAAATGCCCTCATGTTTGTTAGTAGTGTTCTGTTTGTACAGCATTAATGCAATTTAATGATGCAGCCAACTCCACACTCTAAGCACCCTTATTGAAAATGTGATTTGAATGAGAAACAAACCAGCCTCCAGATTCTTTCTTTAACACCAGCTAAAATGTTCTATGGGTTTTACTGTAGTGACTATTAAGCAGTTGCAACTTCCATGTCTAACAGTAAACAACCCTGTTTTTGCTTTTGCATTTAGTGTACCAGCACAGCATCTTTGAGATATCGACTGAAACCGGATCTATATTCAGACAATAGAGCTATTTATGTCATTGTCTGTTTATACAGAGCTCCCTATGACTTTCCGTTGCCCAAAAAAAAACCCTGATTGTGGCTTCAAGATGACGAGATTGTTTTCCTGACATGCTCTCTTCTTAGAGATCATCTGATCTGGCTGCCACCTGCTGAGACACAGTGCAGTTTCTGCCTGTTAGTGGCTGATAAAAGAAGAATGTGATGTCATGTCTAGTCATGTTATTGTTTCTGGCAGTATAACAAGATAACTGTCATGATTGTCTTATAATGAGGGAATTGTTTAATGCCATAAAAATAAATGTGATTCATAGCTCATCATGACTTTTATGTTTTTATGTTTTTAATGTTAAAAGGAATATGTTTCTCGACTGAATCTCTATCTGCTGCATCCATAACCTACTGGCAACGCTTTTGGCATCTCCCTGTGATAGGAAAAGAACACCTGTGACTCAAAGACTACTTATAATAAATGCCAGTGGGCAGTTGCTGAATTCCATGAGCAAATGTGTGACTATTAACAGTACTAATGTTGGGATGAGACTGGGAGAATGTCAAGGATGTTCTTATGATGTTTTATTTAAACTTACAACACTGGAATGCCACAGTAAAAAGGTTTTCTGTGGTGATATAAAACCTGTGAAAACTCTGCCTACTGATACTGATAACGAAATAAAACTTCCCAGCTAATTATACAGCATTTACACGTTAACTTACACAAGTACGGAGAAGAAAACTGATTTTTTTTTTTTGGGTATGAACCGTACATTACAGATGCAGCAGATTAGATTCAGAAATGCTGCGGTATTGCTTTAAAGCAGGGATGCCCAGAGTGTGGCTGTAAGTTATTATGTAATTACTACATATTTCTTATTAAGTATTTTAGTAACCAAGTATTGTGCAGCGTTATAAAATACATTTTTAAAAACTCCAATTGAAGCCTGTCTACCTTCTTTATTTGTGCAGTTGAGGCCAAAAGTTTACATACACCAAATCTTAACCACACAGACTCCATCGTGAAGGAAGGAGGTGAAAATTAGATCCCATGGCTGAATGACCTTTGGTCTGAAAGGACAACAACAAAAGACCTAGTAAGGCAGTTGGAGGCATCATATACCAAAGTGTCTACATCCACCGTTAAGAGATCCTACATTGTCATGGCCCAAATCGAAAAAGCCCCCACTCCAAGACCAGCATACAAAACCCAGACTAAAGTTTTCAGGTGATCACCAGAACAAACAGCCTTTTGGAGGAGAGTTTTCTGACCAGATGAAACAAATATTGAAGCATTTGACCATAATGGTCAGTGCCATATATGGGGGAAATTGCGTAAGCCTTTCAATTTGAAGAACTCCATCCCAACTGTGAAGCATGGTGGTGGCAGCATCATGTTGTGGGGGGTGTTTTGCTGGATAAGGGGCTCATGAGGAAGGAGGATTATCAAGAAATTCTGAAGGAACACCTAATCAGTCACAGAGTTAGAACTTGGTCACAGCTGGATCTTCCAGCAGGACAAGGATGTGTTCCTCTAAATTTCTAACAAAATGGCTGAAAGACAACAAAGTCCTGGAGTGGCCATCACAAAACCCTGACCTGAATTCCATAGACAATGTTTGGACTGAACTGAAAAGGCATGTCTAAGCAAAGTGGCATAGAAAACTGACCTGAGCTTGTGGACGGCTACACAAAACGTGTGATTTAAGTTAAGCAGTTAAAAGGCAATGCCCGCTGAATATTAACAAAGTGTGTGTAAACTATAAGCAACTGAAAATCTCTTGGCTGTTATTTTGAAATTGTCTGTTATGGAACATACCTTTATTCACTTAGCAGAGCAAACGTACGGTGACATAAAACGTGAGGAGCACAAATGGGTTTGACTGTCTTTAGTCTAGATGTCTGTAAACGTTTGGCCTCAACTGTGTACTGTTTTGTGATTTTGGGCCTCGTCCCACCCCTAACATTTCACAGACAAAAAGTTTGCGCACCCATGTATTAAATGCTTCTTTTTTATTCCTTCTGCTTTCTCCATCAGGTCCTGAAAGTGGCCATTCTGGCAGAAAAGTACGCAGTGGACTACACCTGGTACGTGGACACCATCTTGAACCTGATCCGCATTGCTGGAGACTATGTGAGCGAGGAGTTTGGTACAGAGTCATACAGATCGTCATCAACAGAGACGACGTGCAGGGCTACGCCGCCAAAACTGTGTTTGAGGTACAACTCTGACTCCGTTTTCCTTTATGCTTACATGGCTGTCACTCCCTCTGTAATGCTTGTGATACTGATTATATATGTATATTTTAATCAGTTCAGTTTGCCTTTCGATTTTAATGTCATGATTTGGTACGATTTTCTCTTTCTACCTGGACAAACAATCGTATCTAATTCCCTTGCTCACTTTATAAACAACACTGGACAGAGCTTTCCTGCAAAAAGTAGCCTGTTGTCTATGAAAATGGATTGAATTACGTTAATTTTATTTTCTGCCGATATGTAACATTACTGTCCTGTCTCACGTGTACAGCTCAGAACATGAAAAAATTACAGAAAAAAAGTTTGATTTTATGTGGTGAAGTTGACTGTTGTGAATTCCCAGGTAATGGCGATGCTAATGACACACTACATTCACTTAAGACAGAAAGGTAAATGGTTAGGATGAACAAAATAATAGCTAAGTTAAAGGCTTTAATGCCTTTTCTACTCTTTTCTGAAGTGAAGGCGGCCATAAATCGAGTAGCCGTTCCCATCTCTGTCGTTTAGACCGTGATTTCTTATCCCATGCATTCATAAACATTACAGTCTTAAGGTTACTCACTTCACCACGGAAAACTAATCCTAGAAAAACTAATAATAGAACACAACGGCGTGTGAGACTGTGCTTGAAGTGTGTGAAACTTTGTGATCTTGTACTTCTGTAAAGTGCATTTCTGACCTATTTAGTTCAGTTTAATTAGATATAGTGCACACTGTGTATAAAACATTATATAAAAATCATTACAGTGAGTTTTTATTGTATTTTTTTTAAACATGGCACTATTCGTGCATATTAAAACACCTCAGAAAAAAACTTTGGTCATACATATAATGTATCGTGAAAATGTCCTCGAGTATTGTAATGTTTTAAAGTGATGGTCATAGCAGCCTAGTCTGGCTATTAGGTCTGTTACTGTAGCTTTAGTGAGCCAGACTCCTGCAGTTTCGCTTTCCCAGCTACAATGAACCTGATTGAACTCATCAGCCCTTTGCGAGTTGAATGGGTCTGTAATGACTCTCTGAGACACTTCATTCCTTTCACAAATGGCTCGCTCATTACAGACGAACACTACACTTCTACACTACTAAATGCATATGTGTGTGTACATTAGTGCTCTGTGTGAATCTGAAGAGAAACACATTTTGTGGCAGAGTTTATGGTTCTGTTGATAGTTTCTGTTGCGTTCTCTCTCTTTTTTATTAATTTATTTGCCGTCCTGAAAGCACTACTGCTTGCTATGCATAATTTATTAGCAACCTTGCTAATCTATTTATTATAAACCTGACCATCCTCTCTTTCACAGGCTCTGCAGGCTCCAGCCTGTCATGAAAACCTGGTGAAGGTGGGAGGGTACATCCTGGGCGAGTTTGGAAACCTTATAGCAGGAGACCCACGCTCCAGGTAGTTAAGGACTTCTTAAATACCTAAATATCTGTTGCATTTGCAGACCTGAATTGATATCTGGCTGTATTTCACTTTCATAGCAAGATGTTTTTGATCTTTTAAATTAGTTTATATAGTTTACTCTATAGGATCCATTTTTACATTAGTCTTGGGGGTTTATTTTATTCCTTGGGATCCACTTATGACATTTGTGTTGTTTTATGTACCAGAAACAGTCATTAATTTTTATATGATCATTTTCCAACCTCTCTTTATCCCTCAGAATTAAACAGACTGATTTTGTAACTGTGCCCTTAAGACTGATATGTGTAAATGAGTTTGAAATTGTGCCACATCAAGAAAGCAGTCTGAGCTGAAACACTCCTTATGTCTTCAATGTGATTGGGTGGGGCTGATATGCTGTAGGCTCATGTCTGGTCGCATGCAAAACTTTGGGCACCACTGGTCAAATTCCATGTTTTAATTAATTTTCTAAGTGAAAATAAGTTGACACATCTTCTACAGAGAGCGCACCTCTGCACATTTTAATACAGAAATACGTCTTATTAACTGAACTTAACATATTGGAGGACAAAATAAACATGTGGTTGTTTTATATTTAAATGTGTTTCCTTTAGAGGATGTTTAACTTTGAAAATCAACAAAATGTGTACTTTAGCTGTTGTTTAAACTTTTGTATACAACTGTAAGCCATGTAGTGCATGGCTGGCTTAAGTTCTCTCTACAGAAAAGTTTATGTAAGTTTATATTAGTCTATACTAGTTAATAAAAATATTCGTTAATGTTATCTTGAGTGAGAGATTGAATGGTATTGTTTGAAATGTGTTTCTCTCTTTTAGTCCACTCATACAGTTTAACCTGCTCCACTCAAAGTTCCACCTGTGTTCGGTTCCGACTCGGGCGCTGCTCCTCTCGGCTTACGTTAAGTTCATCAACCTGTTCCCTGAAGTCAAAGGCACCATACAGGAAGTACTGCGCTCTGACAGTCAACTGAGAAACGCTGATGTGGAGCTTCAGCAGCGAGCCGTGGAGTACCTGCGTCTGAGCTGCATTGCCAGCACAGATATACTGGTACTTATTAGAACTTATCATTATTATTAATTACATTTATTTCAAAATGTGGTAACACTTCATATGAATCCTGTGTTCATAATTCTTTATAAATGCATTTCTAAGGTATTACATAATGCCTTATAATGACTGCCATAAGCCTGTATGATTACTCATAAATAGTAAAGTAGCTACATGCATAACACTTCATAAAGCAACAATATTACTTTATAAAGTCACTATAATGTCCATTCATAAGAACATTGTACAAACTAATGTTGTAATTTAGTGAAACACAGATGTTCGAATACTTGTATTTCAGGATGTAATACATTATAACACACAGCTTTGGGTTTCTCAAATTGCACCTAACGGACAAGTCATAGTTTAGAAGCTGTTGCTTGTAGAGCCACAGTGCACTTACTTCCTGTTGTGATGTAACATGTGATAAGGAGCACGAGCATTGTCACTGATGAGTGACAAGCTTACGAAGTGTTTTTAACTAATGATTATGATCACCACACAGTTTCCCGCAAAAGAAATTTTGCAAACCCAGCCACAGGGGACTCCGTCGTACGAAAGTTCAGGAGAGTGAAAGTGTGAGAGTAGCCTAGCTAGAATTACACATTAAATGCTAAGTTGTATGTCCTGTTTGAGAAGATTTCACTTCACTTAAAGCCAGTAAAGAACACTTATAATGCTTTGTAAGGCATTTATGTATTACAGTGACATTCACTTTACTTTTAAAAAGCATTTAAAAAACTTCATTTAAAGTCATAATATTTTGTTGTGTTTGTGTATTTTTATACATACTTCGTCAATATGAGAGACCGAACTTATACTTACTTGTATATAATAATACAGTTAAAATGTTATATTGAAGTACAACATTAGAGTGTACAGTGTTCTTATGAATAGACATATTCTTGCCATATAAAGTGTCATGCATGTATCTAAAACCATTTATGAGTAATTATATAGGCATAGTCATTATAAGATATTAAGTATGCCATGTAAAGCATTATAAATGCCATGGGTATCTCACTTCACTTAAAGCCTGTAATACTTAAGAGCAATTATACATGTTAATGCCTCGTTTTATAAGGTATTGTGCAACGCGATATAATGACGAAAGTCTTTAAAAAGGACTAAAAATAAAAATTGAAAAAAATAATGTGAACAATTTAAAAAATAAATAAATAAAGATTTGGACAGTAAATCGGACTTGAGCCGCTTTTGCCTGCAGTGTGAACGTAGCCCAAGTTTTGTTTGAAATGCAAATGCAGCAGAAAATTGAACAAAATATTTTCTAAATTTTATCCTAAAAGGCGACGGTACTGGAGGAGATGCCCCCTTTTCCAGAGCGAGAGTCTTCTATCTTGGCGAAGCTGAAGAAGAAGAAAGGTTCTGGAACTGTGTCTGATGTGGATGACAGTCGCAAAGAGCGCAATACCAACGTCAACGGCAGCACTGATCACACCACAGCCACAACAAACACCAAGGTGGGCTGATTTTCTTGGTTTTGGGCTCTGCATTTCTGCATTGATTTTTCCATTTTTGGAAATCTTAGTGAGGTTGTGTGGTTCATTTGGTCAGAGCAGATGTTCTTCTTTGATGCTCATGTGATTTCCACACGTTGCTAAAAGTAGGCTTTGTCCTGTGACACAGTAAATTAGATTAATTCTTTATTGAAAGTATAACTAGATGTGCTGTGTTACTGCTGTAAGAGAGACAGGCCAGACCGATATGACTGTAAGGAGATAAAAATGCTGATTACTGAAATAGACCGAGATTATTTAATATGGGTAAAAATAAAAACAGACTCCAGTAGCATTAGGTAACAGTGCTTTGTTCCTGATGAAATAGTCAGTTCTCAACGGTCAGATTTATGAAAGTCAAATAGCAGAAACCTTTTTGTTAGTTAGTTTTTTAGAAACTGAAATAATATGTAAAATCATATGCAACAGTTTGGTGCCCCTGGTTAAATTACATGTTTTGTTGACCAAAACTAAGTTAACACATCTACAGAGAACACACTTCTGCACATTTCAATGCGCAGTTACTCTGTTACGCCCTTAAATACATTTTAGATATATTTGTTCTATTTCCTTTTAACTCTTACAGTGCTGTTTGTTTCCAAGTTTAGCCTGTATTGCTGTAATAAAGCCTAACAGTTGGTAATTGCCTGATTAGTGGTTTGTAAAGATTAGTGAAAGTATGTGAAGCCATTCAGATTTGAAAAAAATTAAAAATTGAATTCAAATCAGATTAAGCATTTCCCTTATATTAGGGAGTTACATATTACAAAATAAAATTAAATATAAATATTTACCTTTTCGCCAAAACCAAATTTTTTATCAGCCAAACAATATATCATTCAGACCTTAAAAAAATTCATCTCTGTGTTGTGCTGTGCTGTATGTATCTGTACATCTTTCAGATCTGCTCCTTTCATTATTTTCTCTCTTTTCTTCTTCTCTGTTCTTCAGCCCTCCCCTCCCTCTTTTGTTTCTGACCTCTTGGCTGCAGCTCCGCCCCCTACAAACAGGCCACGCCCTGTTCCCTCCTCCTCCATTCTGCACTCGCCCCTCTCCCCCTTAGCCCCGCAGGCTTATGCAGTTCACAGTGCTGCACCCCTCACCCCCTTCTACCAGGTCACAGAGTGACTGTGTGTGGTTTGCATGTTTGCTCTGTAATGAACCAGACGTGTTTTAAATAATAAATGTAGTTTATAGCAGCAGTTCTCAACCATTTCTACCTCAAGACCCAGCTTTATTATTACTAGAATGCACGAAAGGCCCACAGGTAAACAAAACTCAACTTTTTGGCTTACAAATTTTATTTCAGAGAAATTTTCATCACAGCTGTGTTTGAGTGGCCACCGCAGCAGTGTAATACATACATAATATATGAACCGAATGGGCCTCATTCACCAACTGCTCTTAAGAAGAAATTTCTTCTTAAAACCCACTTGCGCAGTTTTCATGAAGATTGACATTCACCAATGTTTTCTTATTTGGGATTTGTTCTTAGGTAAGAACAGAATCTGCACACACTCAGGTGCAAGTAGGAGAGAGCATTTTGGCGCTTTAAGAACACGTCATGAATCTGACGTAGACTGTTTCTTAGAACCTTTCTCAAGAATTCTCTCATTTAAGGAAAAAACAGGAAGATACTGGTAAATGAGGCCCAGTGTCAGCAAATTAAGCAGACTTTGTTTATAATTTTTTTTTGTTTTAGTGTCATGATTGGACAGCTGAAATGAGAGCAGAGTGTATTTGTTTTTTTGGTGAGGGGCAAAACATTGACAAAGTGCCATTTTTGCAAGGCTTGTATTAATGTTGCCCTCCCTTCATAATTGCCCCAAGGACCACCAAAGGGACTTTGGTTTGTGGAAATTAGCAGTCCATTTTATCCGTAATTTCTACTGTCTAATCAAAATTACTATAGCAATGGTAGTAGTGGTAGTAATTACTGTTACTATTGTATTATAGTACTGTTAATTTTTCTTTAAAGCAAGAAAAGACACTCATACCAATCCAAAAAGTCAGGCTGTATCTGTCTGTTGATATCTAACCAAGCAAATGCTGAGGCTAGCCAGATAGCTAGCTGCTTTCATAATGAAAAAATTAAGATTCCCTAAATGTAACTAAAGCCCAGCAGCGAGGTGAACAGGAAATTTTGCTAGCTATCTACCAAGACATCAGCATACTACTAGTGATTTTTATGCTTGTTATGAAGAAAATGACCATAATACACTGAAATGACATTAAATTAAGATATACAACGTTTATCGTAATTTTTAACAGAGAAAATACTCACATTTGTACTCACATTTGTGCCATTTTTTTTTCTCATAACACTCTGGAGTGTGTCTCTGAAAAAAAATCTTGTCTCTCAACAAGAATCGGGACATCCTACCCCTAGACGTGAACACATAAAACAGAGGGTAGGGCTAAGTGTACAGAGAATCTATTAGCGTATGTTGAACACTGTTATCCTATGCTGCACGCAAACTTCTGACAATGCCATCAATTCTTGTGTAATCACTGCATGCAGTGTGTATTGTGCTATAGTTAGCATACTGTCCACTAACATTAATCATCAAACATAGGAAGTCCATCATGCATGTACATAACTGGATCTGTGCACCCTCAGTGATTTTGTTCTGGATCCAGGCCAGTGCTATTGCTGATATGTTCTGTAAGCTTGGTGTCTCCTCTGTCTTCCAGGTTACTTCTTCTCCGTCTTCGGATCTTCTGGGCTTAGGAAATAGCTCAGCAGTAAACTCAGTTAGTCCGCCAACGGCCTCCAATGCGGCCAGCCTGCTGGTGGACGTGTTCTCAGAAAGCCTGCCTGTAGCACCTTTGGGTACTGGTTCTGCACCCATCATTGAGGAAAACTTCTCAAGGTGCTTCTCTACCTCAGATTTGGATCAGTATTTTTGGCCATATATATCAGAGAGGTGGTTATTATTGCCAGCACCAAATTGATCCATCCAGGCTCCGCCCACAGATGTATTCTTTTGTAGCTACTATTGTGAGGTTTACCAAACATTAGTAAAAGTCCCATTCAGCTTCAGGGTTTTTGTGTCAAATATCACTGGCCACTTCTGTCCATTTTAGCAGCATTTTATGCTGCACACAGTATTGGCTACACCCAAAAGTAACCAGCCAAGAGTTTTTCTGTGGTCAGAAACGGACCATTGATGAAGGGTTAGAATATGGCTTACACAAACTGCATCAACAGATTAGCTATCATCTCTGACTGTACACTAGGTGGACCAACAAGGTAGGTACATCTGGTCAGGGCGGTATGCAGTCATTTTAGCATGGAGCGCTAGTACTAGGAAAGCTGTACGTGTTCTAGCACTGAAATAAAACCTACATTTGATGATTCTTTTTTAACGACTTCAGGACTAAGAATAATTTTTCTAAAAACAAACACAATTAGCGTAGTAGTTTGTCATTTTAACTGTGAAAAAAACAGAAGTAGCATGAATTTAGAATTTTAGTATTTTTATGTTCATTTTGTGTAATATACAGAACTTATTTCCTCGTAGTAGTTCACATTCCTTGCAAGTGGGTGCTATTAGCACTATAGAACCCACACCAGCAGGATGTTGCGTATACTTTTGTCATAGCTTTCTAAACGGAAAGTAAATAGTTTATTTCCTAAAGTTAAGGCTCAGTGATAACTAATACGTGTGTTTTAACTTAAATCAGTTAATTCTTAAAAGGTTACAGGCTAAAAGTAGTGAGCAAGGGGTGCTTCAGTCTTTGAATAAAGAGATGTGTTTGTGCTGACAAATTTTTTTCAACAGGCAAACTGTAAAATCCCAAATCGCTGCTAGCTGGACATTACAGCTTCAAACTAAGAAACTTGAAAGTTTTTTGTTTACAAACATTTGGATCCGTTCTGAGTCCTCATGTTGGACTATCATTACCGTAAACACTAAACTTTTATTTCACATTACAGGGGTCGGCAACCCAAATAATAAGAACAGCCATTTTGTCTTTTTTTAACAAAAATCAAACCAACTTGGGAGCCACAATATTTTATGTCCATTTTACCGTCTTGGCTGTAAATATGTCTTAGTATGTGCTAATGTACTAGTATAGGCTAAAAATATAATATAAACGAAAACACAGACTTACTTTGCTCTGCTTTAAGCTTTAGCTCAGCTATAGCTGCTGTTCTTGCATCTCCAGCAGAAAACAAAAGTAGAATAGTTTCTTGTAAAATGTCTCTTAGCGTTTGTTTTTTTACGAGGCTGAAGTCGCTTCTCATTCGCCAGCTTCTTGTTTTTTCGCTGATCCACCTTAAATGGTGCCTGACATGCCAGAATGTAACTGCTGCACCATTTAAGGTGGAACGGGAGAATTCCACAGCCGTATGTTGCCGACCCCTGTAGTAGCATGTGCCAATACTGTCATATTGTACAGCCCTGCTAAGGACACAGTGTTTAAAAACTCTGATCCACTTGTACCAGCACATCACCACATCACTACCATGTACAACCTCATTTCCAAAAAAGTTATGCAGAATGTAAATAAAAATAGAATGCAATAATATGCAAATTATCTAAACCATATTTTTAAAGGAAAATAGTAGAAAGACAACATATCAAATGTTTAAACTTTATTTTAAATTTTATTGTTTTTTTTTTAAATATATGCCCATTTTGAATTTGATGTCAACAACACGTTCCAAAAAAGTTGGGACGGGGGCATGTTTACCACTTTGTTTCATCACCACAGTGTTGTTCTTGCAACAACACTCTTTAAGCGTTTGGGAACTGAGGAGACCAATTGCTGTAGTTTTGAAAGTGATATGTTTTTCCATTCTTGCTCGATATAGGATTTCAGCTGCTCATCAGTTTGGGGTCTCATTTGTCATTTTTTATTTCATAATGCACCAAATGTTTTCAGTGGTGACAGGTCTAGACTGTAGGCAGGCCAGTTTAGCATCCGGACTTCTTTAACGAAGACATCTTGTTGTAATACATGCAGAATGTGGTTTCACATTGTCTTGCTGAAATAAGCAAGGCCTTCCCTGAAAAAGATGTCGTCTGGATGGCAGCATATGTTGCCAAAACATGTATATATCATTCAGAGATGTGCATGTCACCCATGCCATGGACACTAATGCATCCCTATACCATCTTTAATTCTGGCTTTTGAACTGCGCGCTTATAACAAGCTGAGTGGTCTTTAGCCCGGAGGACACAGTGTCCATGATTTCCAAACAGAATTTTAAATTTTGATTTGTCGGACCACAAGACATTTTTCCACTTCACCTCAGTCCATTTTAAATGAGCTTGGGCCCAGAGAAGGCGGCAGCGTTTATGGCTCCTGTTTATATATGGTTTCTTCTTTGTATTTTAGAGTTTAAACCTGTATGTGGATGCAGTGATGAACTGTTTTCACAGACAGTGGTTTTCAGAAATGTTTCTGAGCCCATGCAGTGATTTCCACTGGAGAATCATGTCTGTTTTAATGCAGTGCCGCCTGAGGGCCCAAAGATCATAGCCTGCATATACTGGTTTTTGGCCTTGTCCCTTGCATACAGAGATTTCTCCAGATTCTCTGAATCTTTTAATGATAATGGAAATGAAAAGGAAAAGTTCTTTGCTATTTTACGTTGAGAAACGTTATTCTTGAATTGTTGCACTATTTGCTCGTGCAGTCTTTCACAGAGTGGTAAACCTCTCCTCATCTTTACTTCTGAAAGAATTTTATACCCAATCATGTAACTGACTGTGTTTTATTTATTTATTTATTTATTTTTTTAGCATTACACAACTTTGCCAGTCTTTTGTTGCTCCCATCCCAACTTTTTTTAAACATGTTGCTGGCATCAAATTCAAAATGTGCATGTATTTTTCAAAAAACAATAAAATTTCTCAGTTTCAACATTTGATTTGTTGTCATTGTACAATTTTCAATGAAAATGATTTGCACATCATTGCATTTTGATTTTATTTACATTTTGAACAGTGTCCCAACCTTTTTGGAAATGGGGTTGTATTTTTGTTCACGAAATGTGAGATTTTAGTGTGTTCTAAATTTGAATTTTGTACATACCATAGTCAAATCAGGAATGTGCTCCAGGTTAACAGTGCTGTCTGCTTTCAGGTTCGTCTGTAAGAATAATGGAGTTTTGTATGAGAATCAGCTGCTACAGATCGGCCTAAAGTCAGAGTTCAGACAGAATTTGGGTGAGTGCCTCAGATCTCATAATTCGTACTGTTTACCTTTAATTTGTATGAGTTCTTGAGCAGTTAACTTTTCTTACATTTCTTACATCCTCACCCACCACTCAAAAAATCTCTCATCTCAATTATTAGGCTAATTTTATTCACTGTTACATTCATTTCTCAGTTGAAATTCCTGTATTACTGCACTGTGGAATCCTTAGTGTGACAGATGTCACTGATGGGGTATCTGATGGAAAAAAAAAGAAGAAAGCTTTTAATTATTCACTAAAGTCCCCAGCCAGTCCATAAAATGAACCGAGTGTTCAATATATTACTCCGTTTATTATTTACTGGCTACTTTTAATTTTCATCTTCTGATTTTTCTTTATTTCTTGATTGCAGCACATGAGCAGGTGACACTTTATAATAACAGGACATAATTAACATTATCATTATCTAATACTTTGTTAAATCCTGTTTTTGATTATGTAATAGTTATATTAATAATAGTTCATTAATAGATGGAACCATTTGAATTATTAACCATTTAATTAGTGATGTAGAAATAATCAATATTTATTTATTTAGTTGCATTAAACAATTTATAATAATTATGAGCGAATTGTTATTTACTATATTGCCACTTCGTGGTGCTTAAAACTTTCCTTTCAGGCTTAAACAGTCATTATTTAGTGATTTATATATACTTTTTAAACATTAATAAGCATTAATTAGATTCCCATTATAAAGTTGCAGCTTTATAATATATTCATAAATATATAGCATATTACCACACTTAGCTTATCACACTTAAATATAATACATTATGGGAAATATTTATAATGATTTAATTACTTGTATGTGACTAAATATTTCAAATAGTAGAATTTATTAAGTTAGTTTTAATTTGTCATTTCTGTTCTTCTTTATGTTACTTTTTAAATTATAATTTGAATTATCTTTGTATTTTATCATTTGTAAAGCAATTTGAATGACCGCAGTATATAAAAGACGCTATATAATATACAATATATAAATATATCAATAAACTTGTCTTGCCTAGTAACGATTATATATCCTTAACTAACTATTAGATAATGATTATGCTGCCCTTTATAGGGGCCTGTTATTATAAAGTATTACCCAAAATCATTAATGCTTTTTAACATGATTTATGTATTTCCCATTTTCCTCATCTCTTATGTGACAATAAGTTTAGCGTGTTTTCAATGCTGGAGTGACATCTGGTACATCATTGTAGAATTGGGTGTATAGACTGTGAATCGTGCTCCCACATTCAGCCAGAATTTAAGCTTAGTGAAGGAGTCACTGTGAAACTTATAAACTGGTCTACAGCATTTCTAATACCCTCTTTCTGTGCCCTCTCCACAGGCCGCATGTATGTGTTCTATGGAAACAAAACATCGACGCAGTTCCTGAATTTTTCAGCTTCTGTGGTCTGCCACGAGCCCCTCAATGCTCATATCCTTTCACAAGAGAAAAGAGTTGCAACATACAAGTCCGGTCTGCTAATAAACAGCTTATGAAGTGATGTCCGCTGTTCAGAAACTTCTGTAATGTAGACCAGTGGTGCTCAGACTTTTCCTATGGAACCCCCCGATGGTCCACATTTTTGCTGTATCCCAGTTGGAATGGAGCAAAAGTGGGGACCTGGGGGCTCAATGTAAGAATCACTGGTGACATTAGTGATGCCAACCTTTAAAGGTTTTTAATCTACATCTGATACTGTACCCAGGTCTTAACTTTACTCATATATCATGTTGAATTTTGATGTATACCAGATGCAGCCTCAGTAGGCAATGCAGTCTTACAGGCACAGTGTGTGATTCTGGAGAACGATTATTGATATTTGAACTCACCAGCAAAACAGATACACCCCTCCCTTCTTTAATGCTTCTTCAGAAGCTCGGTCCTCTAAATTCATGGATGCGCGTTGCCGAGGCGAACGACACAGGGCTAGCAAACTTGTATGTTTTTTAAGATCATCGTGGGCATAAAACCTTTCAAAAATGCTGTACGGACAAATACCATAATAAAACATTAGAGCGAATGACAACACAGCAAGTAATGTACACTATATTCCCAAAAGTATTCGCTCGTCTGCCTTCATGCATATGAACTTGAGTAACATCCCATTCTTAATCCATAGGGTTTAATATGATGTCGGCCCACCCTTTGCAGCTATAACAGCTTCAACACTTCTGGGAAGGCTTTCCACAAGGTTTAGGAGTGTGTTTATGGGAATTTTTGACCATTCTTCCAGAAGCGCATTTATGAGGTCAGACACTGATGTTGGACGAGAAGGCCTGGCTCGAATTCTCCGCTCTAATTCATCCCAAAGGTGTTCTGTTGGGTTGAGGTCAGGACTCAAGTTCTCCCACACCAAGCTTGCTCATCCATGTCTTTATGGACCTTGCTTTGTGCACTGTTGCGCAGTCATGTTGGAACAGGAAGGGGCCATCCCCAAACTGTTCCCACAAAGTTGGATGAAATTATCCAAAATCTCTTGGTCTGCTGAAGCATTAAGAGTTCCTTTCACTGGAACTAAGGGGCTGAGCCCAACTCCTGAAAAACAACCCCACACCATAATCCCCCCTCTACCAAACTTTACACTTGGCATAATGCAGTCAGACAATTACCGTTCTCCTGGCAACTGCCAAACCCAGACTCATCCATCGGATTGCCACACGGAGAGGCGTGATTTGTCACTCCAGAGAACACGTCTCCACTGCTCTAGAGTCCACCACTGCATTCGATGCTTTGCATTGCGCTTGGTGATGTAAGGCTTGGATGCAGCTGCTCGGCCATGGAAACCCATTCCATGAAGCTCTCTACGCTGTTCTTGAGCTAATCTGAAGGCCACATGAAGTTCGCAGGTCTGTAGCGATTGACTGCAGAAAGTTGCACACTATGCGCCTCAGCATCCGCTGACCCAGCTCTGTCATTTTACGTGGCCTACCACTTCGTGGCTGAGTTGCTGTCGTTCCCAGTCGCTTCCACTTTGTTATAATACCACTGACAATTGACTGTAGAATATTTAGTAGCAAGGAAATTTCACGACTGGACTTGTTGCACAGGTGGCATCCTACCATGGTACCACACTGGAATTCACTGAGCACCTGAGAGCGACCTATTCTTTCACAAATGTTTGGAGAAGCAGTCTGCATGCCTACGTGCTTGGTTTTATACACCTGTGGCCATGGAAGTGATTGGAACACCTGAGTTCAATGATTTGGATGGGTGAGTGAATGCTTTTGGCAATATAGTGTAGCTAACGTTAGCTCGTGGGTTAGCTACAGTTTGCTACAGTTGCTGTTGCGAAGCTAACCAGTTGCTATCACAAACATTACCAACCAGGACAAAACAGTATTGACCTGTTGGTTCTGTGAAACAGCAAAAAAGAAGTTGATGTTTCCCTACTGTCAAGCAGACACTTGCACTGGATGCTAATGTAACTAACAAGTAATGGAAGCTTATATCCCACGAATTAGTACGGTGCCAACTGTGACCCACTTATATCTATAAACTAGGACTATACTGTATCTATAAAAAGGACTAAAGTATGCAGCGTAGCTATAAACAGTTGTTGAAGCCATTCTGAAGCTTGAATTTTGTTTGTTAATTTGATTCTTGGCCACATTAATATGTCCAGTGACATTTTCTGTGTAAATGTTGTTTACTGGTCTGTATGTGTTTGATTTTATAAACACTGCTTTAGTCCTTAATTGCCTCTTCACAGCTGAATGTTCACACTAAAACTGCTGACCCTGTAGTAGACGGAGGAGCTCAGCTTCAGCAGATCCTCAACATTGAGTGCTTATCTGACTTTGTGGAAGCACCGGTGCTCAATATTCATTTCAGGTGGGTGTTTGATTTCTAGTTTTGCTTGGGTTGCTGAGATGTTGTTATTGACTTTATGCTTTACTATGTGTGCATGATATTTTGATGGCTGGTCTGTACTCGGAAGAAAGGAACAACCACCAAAAATTAAAGATTCGATTTCCTAATCATGCAGAAATGCCACAATAAGAGTGCTTTATAGTACACAGGAACCATTGACAAATTAGGAGTCCTTGGGTTGACTGTTGTTGCATTCATCTGCCATTGTAAGTTGCTCTGAATAAAAGTATCTGCTAAATCTATAAGAATTATTATATCTGATTTAGCTTTGTTTAGTTTAATCAACGCTCCATCTTTACTTATTAAAGAAAAGCCCAATCCCACTTATTTTTAACCCTACCCCCTGTTTTCGAGTGTCGCCTTGCCCCTTGGAACCCAGGTACACAGGGTAGTGGTTGAAATCTTCCCTATAAAATGGAACAACCGTCAAATAAAAAAAGAACATTACGTCATTAGCAGGCTACTAGCAGTGCTCTGTAGGCGACCCTGTCAGTCTGCAGTGATAACAGAGGATGGTAAAGTTCAGCAACCTCACTGCTGGGGTATAGTTAGATTGAGGGCATCATATGCCTTCAAAGAGGGGGGGGGCAATTATTTATTATTGCCCACCCCTAAGTCTTCAGTGATATGAAGCTGAAGTCAGCTATTTCCCAGCTTCTTGTTCTGATTTTCCTGTTCCACCTTAAATGGAGCAGTTACATTCTGGTGCTTCAGGCATGAGAACTTCTGCACCATTTAAGGTGGAACGCAGCATACTGCTAGCTAATTTTTGTGCTGGTTATAAAGAAAAGGACCATAATACGTTAGAATGACATTAAACTAAGATAATACAATGGTTATCGTATTTTTAACAGAGAAAATACTCACATTGGGGGGTTACTTTCTGCCAGTTTTTCTCATAACACTTTGTTTGGAGTGTGCCTCTGAAAAACCTCAGTTCTGAAGGGCCATGCAGCCCTAACACTTCTCCCTACCCCTCTGTCTCAACAACAATCGGGACACCCTACACCTAGACGTGAACATGCAAAACAAAGGGATAGGGCTTCGTGGTAGGGGCGAGGGGTAAAATGGGATTGGGCCTAAGTTAGAGTGTGAATATTGCCTAGAAATTTGATGTCAGTAGACCGATATATCGTTTAACTGTGTGTCCAGTAGAGTGGGAGAGAGAGAGGGAGAGAGAGATATTCTTATAATAGAAGTTGCCTGTAGCTCTGAAGCTACGTCTGCTGGTCTACAGGTACGGAGGCAGTGTGCAGAATATTGCCGTTAGGCTGCCTGTCACTCTCAACAAGTTCTTCCAGCCCACAGAGATGACGTCTCAGGACTTCTTTCAGCGTTGGAAGCAGCTCAGCGCGTAAGCAGCATTACATAGTAGTGTACAGTCACTTCAACATTAAAGAGTTACTTTTACAGTATACTCCAGATATTTCTGTGTTTTTAAGGCTACATTATATTGACAACACTAGACAGCCACTTCAAAACTAGAAAAGAAACGTCCTTAATTGAGTTGGAAGTTGCACTATGTGTCCAAAGGTTTGTAGACACCTGCTCCTCCTATGTTTCTTTTGAAATGAAGGGTGTTAATAGTGAGTAACAGCCTCTACTCTTCTGGGAAGGCTTTACACTAGATGTTGAACTTTGCTGTGAGGATTTGATTGAACATTAGTGAGGTCAGGTACTGATGTTGGATGGTCAGTACCTGACCAAAGGTATTATATGGAGCTCCATCACTCTAGAGAACACAGTTCCACTGCTCCACAGCCCAATGCTGGGGAGTTCATACCCCTCTAGCTCACACTTTGCACTCAGCATGGTGACCTTAGGGTCACATGCGGCTGCTGCAGAGCGTCCCATTCTACTGGTCAGTGCTTTTCTGTGGAGATTAAACAAGCTGTGTCAGCAGTAGGTGACCTTAAAGTAGGTGAATTCACTCATTAGGAGGACCATCTGGATACTTTTGGATATAAACTGCATCTCTTTTAGTCTTCTCAATCTTTTCTGAGATTGCAAATGATAATAATGACTCAGTACCACTGCTTCTTTTTCCCACTCAGATCTCAGTACAGATGAGCTGTTTGGCATTTAGGATGTTGAGTGCCTTGGTTATACAAGTGTCTACTATTTTATGATAAGTTCCATAATAAAAGTCAGTTAAAACAAATGCTTTTTTAATATCTGAAATATGACATTTCCTTGTCATTCCGCAACTGCCCAAGTACACATCATCTCTGTTATTGCATATTTTACTAGGTTAGATAACGTATGGAGTGTTTTGGTGAATATAATGCCTTTGTTCTGTAATGAACCTCTCATTATTTCTTTTACTGCCTCCAGTCCCCAGCAGGAGGTTCAGAAGATCTTTAAAGCTAAGCATTCCATGGACACAGAGATCACGAAAGCCAAGGTAACTGCGGAATAAGGCAGTGAACGAATATAAAGACAGAAATCACAAGATTGTCTTGGCACACAGATTTTGAATATCAGTAAATGGTATTAAAGGGGAATTTTACCATTTTTTAAATTTTTGGAATAATTCAGTGGTTGAGAAACAATGTCAGCTTGGTTTGGTGTCAAATGGTTCATTGTACAGAAACTTACAGACTCAGATTTCTTTACAGTGGAGATGATAGGAACCAGGGGTCACCATGTCTACAACACAAATGTAGCCATTTTATTTACTATTCAAAACCACCAGTGAACCTACGTGTGTCTTCGGAGTTGTATATATAGAATGTTGACTCCTGCTTGTTTATGTGTGTTTTTAGATAATTGGATTTGGGACAGCGCTGCTGGATGGAGTAGACCCAAATCCTTCTAACTTTGTGGGCGCTGGAGTGATCCACACTAAGACTATACAGGTCGGCTGCCTTCTGAGACTAGAGCCCAACACACAAGCACAGGTAAGAGCAGTAACACCAGGGTTGTGCACTATTGAGTTTTCATAGATGCATATATTGTTTATTTATGTTTGCAAAATGAGACATGATCAAAAAATGAAAATCCATACTTTGTTGGTCTAATTTGTCTCCTTTTAAAATGCAGATTTTATAATATTGGCTGATGGTAGGACTGAATAGTTTCCTGATAGGTTGAGCTTAAATATATAATACTGTGCAACAGTCTATTCCTGCATTTACACTAGATCATTTACACTGGATCAGCCCAACCAATCTTTCCACTTGGGTTTTGAATTTTGCAGGTACCAGAGCTGTGTTTTAATATTAATTTAAGCATGGGGTTTGCCGCTGTTCTTCCATGGAGCTCAGAAACACTAAACACCACCTGCCTGCTGATAGGAAAAACATTCTACATTTGTTTGGCTGGATTAATTTTCACAATGTTCAACTTAGCTCATCTTTCGACGCACCTCATGCCCTAAATTTGACCCGTCTTACATTTGACAGACAGAATGTTTCCCATAGAAAGTGAATGAGACCAGATGTGGTGCATTGCTACATGTATATGTATAATATTCACTCATGAGCCAAAATATTAAACGAATAACGTTCGTTATTTCATAACAACAACACATGTCAAGGTCTGGGATATATTATAAACAATATAAAATGCTAAAAGTAGAACGATTATAATGAATTAAGTCATTCTAAAGAGTTACGAAGCAACTGATTATGCAAACAACATGCAAATAAATGGTGAAGTTACTTCACAGTGAGGCTGATGACCATGACTGCCGTGTTTTTCAGCAGAGTATAATGTATTTGTTAATGGTCTGTGTCAAATATTGGAGCGGGGCAAATGATTGCAATTTTCTGTGGGAGTGGGATGAAAAAACAGTCCCATGCAGACTCTTCCGTAGCAGAAATACAGATGTAGCCACTGCATAGACTCTTGCTCACCTGATTGGTCACTGTCCCACCTCTTTTCCCTGCAGATGTACCGGCTTACGCTGAGGACCAGTCGAGCGTCCGTGTCCCAGCGACTCTGTGACCTGCTCTCGGAACAGTTCTGATTGCTCGTCTGGTGGAAGATGGGTCCTTCTTCCTCTCTCTGAATGTGTACTGGGTCGTATAGACCTTCTCCCTGTGCTTCCCTGACGCACTCCTGATGGCCAGATTGGCCTGTTTGAAGCACCTCCCTCTTTCACTTCTGTTACCTTTCACATATATCCTCATATAAACCAATATTAACTCAATGTACAGTGTAAATTTCCTGATGCTTTTATTTTTTACTCATATATAAATGACCCTTTTTTCTTCTCCACAATTTAGCTTGGCTAATCCCGGTCTGCTTGAATCAGGCCTTCGGTTTCATGCGCAGATTCAGTTTGTTTGAGGGTGTGTTTTTTTATGCTTGTTTTATACCAGACTTGTTATCCCCCGACCTCAGATGGTATATTAGAAGTTAGAAGAATGGGAAGTGAATGACAGAACCTTTTTCTTCTGCTGTTGCTCGTTTACATAGCCTGAGAAAACAGCTGGTCAGAATTAGGTGCCTGGCTTTGAACTAGTCAGTAAAAATAAGTGCCTTGGTTGAATGCAGCTGTCATGTGGAGTGATTTGGAAAGAATAGATCCTTTCTCAGGGGACAACAGCAGCTTTGCCTGAAATCTCATCCCAAATCCATTGAAACAGACATTATTGAGAGTCATGAATGGTTTGCATACCTGGCTATCCTGGAAGCAAAGAATTACACCTGCTAGAGTTTTAAGGCTGCACGATATAGGCAAAATACAGAATTGTGATTACAATATGCCTTGCAGTATATTAAAACCATATTGGTGGATCAGTAGTGTGACATGGTTAAAGACTGGCCTCCATCATTCAGAACAATATTACACTATTAGGAATGTTTAAATCAAAGCATTCAGGTAATCCAACAAACTCGTAAAGGTGCCAGAAAGGTTTTTTTTAGCTATGCCATAGAATGACCATTTTTCAATAGAATTTTTAAAGAGCCTTCCATTGATAGATTCTTTAGGGAATCAGTTGTGGCTCTCATTTGGCATTGCTCCAAAGAACCCATTACAGCACACTTTTTTAAGAGTATTTGGCAGGGCTGGCAAACGATTTGAATATTTAATCACGATTAATTGCGATTAGCTACACAAACTACTGCAGTTCATCATGATTGACTTTGAGCAGTGCCACAGAATAACCACCTTGAGGTTTATTAAAGAACCATCCATTGATAGATTCTTTGGGGAATCAATAGAGTCTCATATGTGCCATTGCTATGAAGAACCCCTTACAGCATGTTTATTTTTAAGAATATTTACCAGGGCTTTCAAACGATTTGAATATTTAATCACAATTAGTCGCGATTAATAGCATTTGTTTTTGATTCATTGGTCTTTTTTGCTCAAATTTTACAGTTAAAAGTGACCTTTCGTTTAGAAAGTACTGCATTGCATAGAGCTGTAAGAGTGCACAAAATAAGATTCATCACAATGTATTTATTGCTTTTAAGATTTCAGTAACATAATTTTCATAGTGTGAACCCCTGAACATGATCACGTTTTTAGTTATCACCGACGTCCAGTGAGAGCAACTGTGTCTGCATGTTCCAACCAAAGAGTGTATACACTCATTGAGGTTATGTATCATATATGTAGGTCATATATACAATCAATGAGGGTATATATCACATATGCAGTCAGTAAGTGTATATATATCATATATAAAGTCAATGAGTGTATTTATCATAGGTATCATATATAGTCAGTGGTTCAGCTCCTCCATGATTGTAGCCTCTCATTCTTGTTCATTTAGCTCATGGGTTCTTGTTACAGTGGAGGATCTCAAGGGGAACTGGAGCTCCACCAAACTGCTGCTTTTGTGAGTTTGCTGCTGGTTGATTGGTCAGTTCTGTCCAGTGTAGTCTACTGAAGATGCTGAAGGTTTTGCTTTAAAAGCGGTATTTGAACGAGAGCGCAACAATCATGGACTCTACCAGAGCAGCATACAGTGCTGCAGCTGGGCTTCAGCCTGCACTGCAGTTCAAAAAGGTCAAACTTTTATTATCCATAATTTATTGTAGCGTATTATCACAGCCCTGTTTGTTTGTTGGATTTTATGAATACTTTGATTCATTTCATTTAAACACCCACAGAAACTGATTTGCAGTCTTAACAGAGATTTACAAGGGTTCTTTAGTAAAGAAAATGATTCTATATGAAACCCTCAGCGCTCAAAGAATCCTCTGCATGATTAAAGGGATCTTTGCATCATGAAAGGGTCCTTCAGATGGATGGAAAATGTGCATGAATATCCTATAGACGGTTCTATATAGAACCTTTTGGAAAAGGGTTATTCTAGTCTTACAAGCTTTACACTAACAAGAGAAAAGCGCTTTTGTGTTTTTCAGAAAGGTTCTGTATAGAACCATCTGTAGCACATTCTCCATCAGTCTGAAAAACCATTTCATGATGCAGAGAGCCCTTTAATCATGCAGAGGGTTCTTTAGCGGTCATGGTTCCATATAGAATCATTTTCTTCACTAAAGAATCCTTGGAGAATTGGTCAGTGAAAAAATTTAGTGCTTTGATGAAGCACTTATTTACATATTATAAGCCTTGGCGATGTCTACTGTAAAGGCAGATATCGTGATAACGATTAACAGGCGATATATCGTGCAGCCCTACAAGAGTTACAGGCACTGTTTCCTCTGAGAGCTCATTTGAAGAGAAAGCATTGTAGACAGTGCTGTTAATTAGGGTGGGAAAGCGCTTACAGGGCTTGTTCTTTTAACCTTTTCTATGTACTGGCACAGCCACTGCCAGCTTCTTCATGTGCCTTCAACTTGTATGTTCCTTCTGATTGATGTAAATGTGGCTCTGTGGCTGTGTGTTTGTCATCTGCATCTGAGAGCATGTCCTCCTCCCAAACATACGGCGGGTTTTTGTGCCAATTAAACTATATCACCACACTTGTTTTGATCCGCTGGTCTTTCTTTGTTCCATAAAACGTGTGCTTACTTGTTTTAAATCCCAGCCAGTGATGTTGGCACTGGTTTGTTCAGTCTGAAACCTGGTGCACAGTTGCCTCAACAAGCATTTCCCTCCATTCTTTTGTTTTCCATGATGTTGTTTACAGGCATCTCAGCACAGCTCATTAGCTCCTCTACAGTGCCAGTCACAAGTTCAGACACATTTAAAATAATATTTTCATTATTTAAAACTGAGCATCTTTTACAGTTCAGTGTTCATTGTCTCAGGACGGTTCCCATTTGCGCCAGAGGGGGTGACAAAGCTAAACGTTCAGCTGAAGTTAAGCCGTATTCTTAAACATGCAGTAAGCAACAGTAAATCCAAACCTGTTCACTCAAAGAGAAGAACTCATTTCAGCAGTAACAACCACTGTAGCACTGTTATTTGAACATCTCTACTCTGTAATCAAAGTTGGCTCCAAACAGCTTCATCATTTTTGATCCACTTGTACAGCAGCACCACCCACACCACGACGCTGCTGTCTCTGGGGCAATAAAACTGATGAATATTTCTGAAAATAGAGCTTTATTCACTGGAAAGCGTCCCGACACAGTCTGTAGATGCACATACTAGCCAAACAACACTTAAAAAAGAGGGTTCTTCAAGGGTTCTTTAATAAAGAAAATGGTCCTATATGGAACCATGAACACTCAAAGAACCATTTTGAAAGAACTTTTCAAAAAGATTCTATGTAGCACCGACAGTGTTCTTCTATTGTTATGATGTCTAGCTTGTAACAATAGAACACTTTTTGTTGCTACATAGAACCCTTTTCAAAGATGTTCTATATAGAACCATCTACAGCATCAATTCTCCATCAGCTGAAGAACCTTCTGCAGAGAACCCTTTAATCATGCAAAGGGTTCTTTGTGTTCATGGTGCTATATAGAACCATTTTCTTTACTAAAAACCCTTGAAGAACCATCTTTTTAAGAGTGTAGACTCTTTGCATTTTTGCATCAGCTTTGCCAAAAAACAAAAGACTAGTCTCACCTTCTTAAATTATCCCTAAAAAACTAATATAACACAAAAAAACAGATGTAAAATGTCTCCACATTATGTATTATAATATTCTCCAAATGTTTCTGCTATACTGAAACCATTATGACTGAAGATCATAGATTCACCTTTTAGAAAATGCAGCTTTATTTTCATTGAAATGGTTGTAAAATGTCTCAGCACAGTCTGTAGAAGCTCTTACCATACAAATTTTGTATAAAAATCACTTTGCATTTTTATTGCATCAGATGTGCAGGATTGTTTATGTAGAAAGCTGCAGTTGTCTGTTTATCTCGGTACACATCTTTGTGGAGAGGTGCGAGTTGTTTTTCACAGCAGGCGGGTTCTCTCTCCTTCCCTTTCGCCCCTCATTGCTCACTAGCAGCTCAACACAGTCACATTTCAACGTTTTGTAAATTCTTTTTTAAACATTTCATTTCAGCCATCATGACCTGAGATTATAGACGTTTCTTTCTGACAATAAAGCAGTATTTTACTTGAAATCATGGGGAAACGCAGTTGGACACTCTGTTGAAGCACTTTTCATCCAAATTCTGTATCAAAATCACTTTGAATTTTTGAACTAACATGGTCAAAATACATAAGACTGTAGTCTTAGCTTCATGAACATCATTGACTGTTTCTAAATTGCCTTAATTTTTATCAAAACTACTTAAATCAGTGGTAAAATGTCTACACACTGTGTATTATATATAATGTACTGCACATTCTTCGTAAAAATGAATTTTTCCCGCTAGACTGAAACCACCGTGAAGATTATAGACTTACTTTTCAGAAAATGCAGCTTTGTTGTCAATAAAATGGTTGTAAAATGTCTCAGCATAGTTTGTAGAAGCTCTTACTGTCCAAATTTTGTATAAAAATCACTTTGCACTTTGCACTAATATGGCCAAAATGCGTAAGACTATAGTCTTACATTCATGAACATTTTCTGACTGCTCTGAAATACCATTAATATTCATGGGAAACATTTAAATCAGTTAGAAAGTGTCTCTGTATGATGTATCATATGCAATATTTTGTACATTTTTTTGGAAACAACATTTCTGTTGTACACCAAAACTATCATGTGTGTTATTCACCATTGTTAAATTGCTTTGATTTTTACTGACAAACACTTAAATCAGTTGTAAAATGTCTTCACATGCTGTATTATATATAATATACTGCACATTCTTCACAGAAACACATTTTTACTGCTATATTGAAACCATCATGACTGAAGATCATACTCACCTTTTAGAAAAAAACAGCTTTATTTTCATTGAAATCATTAGAAAATGCAGTAGGACAATCACTAATGCACTGACCATTCAAATAAAGATTAAACATCACTGTATTTTTGTGTCAAAGTGGCTAAAATACAAAACACTGTAGTCTCGCCTTCATGAGCGTTTCTGACTACATAAATATCATTGATTTGAATCAGTTGGAAAATGTCTCTATATGATGTATTATATGCAATATTTTGTACATTTTTTGGAAACAACCTTTCACTAGTACACCAAAACAATCATGACCAAAGTTTACAGGCTTACATTTCTGAAAAAATAGTTTTATTTTCCCTGAAATTATTGGAAACTGCATTAGGACACTCTGCTGAAACATTTTTTTATTTAAACAAAGTATAAAAATCATCTTGCATTTCTGCAGCAAAATTGCCAAAATACATAAGACTATAATTGTACCTTCATGGGCATTACTGACCGTTCTTAAACTGCTTTCAGTTTTACTGGACAATCATTTGGAAATTGTGTGTGTGGTGTATTATAACTTTCATAGTCTGGAATGTGGCAGCTGGTAAAAATAAATTGCTTGAGGATTAATTCTGTATTCATTACAATAAACAGGGTCAAAATATTGTACACCAGTGGAGCTACAAAGTGGCCAGAGAGTTAAAGTACAAGGTGGGTGTTTTTAATAAAGTGGCCAGAGAGGAAGAACGAGGTAGGTGTTTCTAATACAGTGGCCACTGAGTGGAAGAGCAAGGTAGGTGTTTCTAATAAAGTGACCAGAAAAAGCAAGAACAAGGTAGGTGTTTATAATAAAGTGACCAGTGAGTGAAAGAGCAAGGTAGGTGTTTCTCATAAAGTGGCCAGAGAGTGGAAATACAAGGTCAATGTTTTTAGTAAACAGAGCATATTGCATTTAAACACCATCCAGGCAGTTCAGTGTGTGTGAACAGAGCCTAGTGCTCAGTGCTGTCTGTATGACCTAACTGGCCTCAAGCTAATGCATTAGTCTATACTCACAGGAAGTGTGTTATCCTTCCCCTCCAATGAGAATAGAGGCAGCTGTGCTGTTGTGGACCTTTGCCACAGGTGGCAGACATCAAAACATTGAGATATCAAAGTCTGAGACATCAAAAGATTCAAGGTAACTTGAAAAAAAAAGGAAACATGAAGGCGTCGCTGAGAAATTAGATGTCACAGGTTCTCTGTTCTCAGTGTAATGGGCTGGTCAGTATTAGGGTGGACGAGGGTGATCCAATTTTCACCCAGACTGAATGGTAGAACGACTGTTTATTCAATATTTTGTAGCACTGTTTAAAGAACCTGTTGATAGAAATAAACTCTACTGATCCTGAAGGAAACTGTAGAGTCACAACAGAACTGTACAAATTACATATTAGGATTAGTCATAAAATGTACAAACATATAACACAAGGTGGTCATTAACGCACAATCTCAGGCAGTCAAATGCATCAAATATGAAAAAATATAAAAGCTTTAAATAGATAAACCATAATTCCACCAATAAATATAGTTTCTTCAGTGTTCCTTTATTGTTTCCCAGCAACCACTTGAAGGCTAGAGGACAAAAATCGCCATTGTATATTACAGTAATATATATATGTATATATATATATATATATATATATATATTATAGCACTATTATAACATTATAGCACTGTTTAATGATTTATATATATACCACCGCCACTTTCCATTAGCCCAGATGTCATCAACTTGCGTCTCTGTAGCCACATGTGGCCTTTAACTGTCCTGTTGCGGCTCCACAGCAGAATTAGATTTTTAGGCAAAAATAAAATAATCCTCCTTTGCAGTAAAATAAAGCTCTGCTGATCCTTCTAACACAGTTTTAACAATAAATGGTCTTAAACACTGGAATTAATGTAAAACTGCAAATTCATCCTTTAACCCTGAAGATTGGCATGCAAACTGCTGGTCACCATAGCAACACAGACAACAATCTCGCCTAGCTAGTAACTAATGAAATGAGAAAGATTTAAGAGGAACATCGATAATTTGGAGACAAATGGACTTATTTGCTTTCATAATCACTCCAGCTGATTTTTGTTGAAGCGCAAATGGCTAACTGCTCCCTACATAGTGCACTACATAGGAATTAAAATACTGCCTCCAAACAACACTATATATGAAGGAGGGTGCATTTGAGATTTAGTCTTGGTCTTAAAGCTGATCTGACTAAAACACAGACATTTGAGGTGTGTAAAACATTTAAGTGACCTTCTTCAGTCTTTTATATTGCAGTTTTACAGTTAATCATATAATGTCATACAAAGCCTGTGATATTGCTGATCAGCCTAGTTCTAGCTAATAAGAATAAGTCCGCTCCTCAGTTTGAACAGAACCGGGTTCTTTCTTCATTAGTACACTAGATGGACCATCAAGCAGCAGTACAGAAAAATTCCTCCAATAACAGCACGAGGGTTTTAGTGACCGCTGTAATACACAGCTCAGTTGCTGTGAAGTGGTCAGAAGTGTGTGAATGTTGAGTATTTTGCAACAGTTTTGAAAGCAGCTCAGGCAGATTTTTGAACCAGATCTACCTGTTTAAAACATCAAACAACACTGTGTTTCACAACAGAAGTATCAGATACTTTAGAGTTATACTTCAAAGACAGTGTTGCACTCACTGGACTCTTTCTGTTTA